GGATGTGTTTTTAAGATTATGGTATACAAGAAACTCAAAAACTATTACTAATGTGGTGCTACATTGAAAGAATTAGACGCTGGTTTCAGGCGACTTCGGCTGTTTTTCAAGTCAAGTTGCTAGTGAATGGCAGCTACTCAGTAACAAAACAAAATCATAAGGTTTCATTTTGCATGCGAATTATTAAAAAGCCACTTTTACCAAATCTTGATACCTAAATGCATAATAGGAAAATGACTGCAAAAATTGCATTTACTGAGCCTTACGTCTTGCCGTTGACTGTTTTAAAGGTGTTCATTTTTTTTAATAACAATAAATTATTGTTCATAAATATTCTAGGAAAGTATATTATAATCGACAATATTTGCATTTCATACCCTTATCATACATCGGCGGTTAGTTCGCCCCCGTTTTGAAAGGTATATTCTGCTGTCATTCCGCCTATTTATCGGCTTGCGCATTTGAATTTTGCGATGTCTAATGAATTGAGGTGTGAACAGGTTAAAGTTTTCTGCAGAATAAGGCCAAATCCTGATCAAGAGGATGAATGCATCAGTGTGGTTGACGAATGTTCTTTATCACTTCAAAACAAGCGTTCTTTCAGTGGCAGAGTACGTCGCCACCATAATTCAAATTTTCTTTAATAGAACATTCATTCATTTTCCCGCGTTTTTGCTCCCGATGCTACCCAATCTGATGTGTTTAAGACTACCCTTTTGCCTTATGTCAAGTCCGTTTTAGAAGGTGAAAATGGTGCGTTATTTTTCCTTTTAACATATGTTTTAAGTACTGTTTTTTACCTATGGAGTTACTGGAAGTGGCAAAACGTACACAATGCAAGGAACCCCTAAAGACCCAGGGCTTGTTCCTCGTACTCTTGATACAATATTCAATTCAATATCTACATATTCTACTCTTAAATATGTAAGCTGTTCCTAGTAAAGCGTTATTGTCAGGTCGTTAAACCAAATGGTCATAATGGATTCAGACTTCAGACTGAGGCAGAGGCTATTATGGATCGTCAACGCCTAGATTACACGTCGAATCCACGAAATCCATATAGGTTAGATCGTTATCTTTTAGCTTAACTTTTATAGGTCCAACTTACATTGCTCCAGTATGGACGGTCGCTTTGTCGACACAACTGTGCTTACGGTCTCGCAAAAATCACTTTATACCGTATTTATATCATTCATTGAGTTGTATAATGATGTAATTTATGACCTGCTTGATGCTTCTACTGGAGGTTGCGCAAAGTAAGCACACTGAATACCTCAGTTACGCTTTCTTTCGAGGACAATTAACCTTCACGAAGATATACACCGGAATATTTATGCCCATGGCGTTACCGAATTGGAGGTTAAGGCTTCAAACGAAGCGTTAAAAGCTTACTATCAAGGTTTGTTGTAGTTTGATTTAGTTATTGGTTCGTTAGGGCAGAAACGTCGACGCGTCGGAGCAACTGCCCTAAATAAAGATTCGAGTAGAAGTCACGGAATTTTCACTATTAAAATTGTTCGTACCGGCTATGACCCTAATTACGACGAAGTTATAATGGTAAGATTAGATAAATCCCAACAAAAAGCTATTTTCCGCTTGAGTGACTTCGAGTTTTGTAATTTCGCAGGATGACTCTTTGATTACGGTAAGCCAACTTTGCCTGGTTGATTTGGCTGGATCAGAAAGAACCAGCCGCAGTGGAACTACCGGCGGACGCCTTAAAGAAGCGGGTTAGTGTTACTTCTCGGTGACTAAGAGTGTAAAAATCCGCCTGTCTACTCCACATTTTTTTAAATTTAGCTACTATTAATAAATCACTATTAACTCTACGCAAATGCGTCGAAGTACTGCGGATGAATCAAGTAATGCAATCGAGCCTAAATCAGTCCGTCCAACAGCAAATTGTTCCCTACAGAGACTGCAAACTGACACGAATTTTCAAGTCCTTTTTTGAAGGTTGTGGCCAAGTGGCTATTCTGATTTGCGTGCACAAAACAATGGAGGAATATGCGGAAACAGCGGTGAGTGCCTCAGGGTCATTTGTTGCCCCTAATTGCCTTCAATATTGGCTGCTTACCCTCTTCTTACTTGTAGCACGTTCTTCAATTTGCTGGAAGTAGCCAACAGGTCTCCACCACTCTTACTCCCGCACCCGTCGCTACTCCTTTAGTTCGTTCGGCAAGGCATTCGAGAAGATCATCCACTCTTCTTTTGGTATGTAATGCTGTTTCCTACATTCGTATGGTAATATAAAAACGCCCTTGTACAGATTTTACGTTCCCAAGGTCGCCATATTTTGAAAACGCATGCTTGGCCAAACTGTTTTTTGGGCAAATTATTGGTGCTTTTTTTTCTACTAAAACTACATTGCTTTTCTAGGTTTCCAATGAGGAGCTTAAGTCGGCTATTGCAAAGATGCAGACTCTGGACGCGTCTCTCGCGGCTTCCGTTTCTGACATTGTCTCAGCGGACGTCGATAGCCTCCTACTCAACTTCTGCGATTGCTTCCCAAACTGTAGCGACGGCCATCGAAGGAACACAAAAAACACACGACCATCGTTCACCCCAGTGCAAAATGGCCAGCATTCCGTTAATTGTCCACTCTTATCTGTGTTGCGAGCACGTGCTGAAGAACACAATCGAATGCGTGGTGTGTTGGTTCGGTTTGGTGTTGATCTTCAGTCATATGTCGGACAAATTTTACGACGAGCAGAGTCGGGTGACTCGCATTTGTCACTCCTCAACACACTGGACTCTTTGAATGTTGAAAAATTACAAATGGAATCGAGGATCCGGTATTTGGAGGTGAATGATAGTATATTTAAAGCATTCTGCTCATGATCACACATCTATCTAGTTATTGTTTTAACCAAGGAAAAACGTGTGATTCTCTGTTTTTTTTCTGTAATGAAATAAGTGTGATGGCTCAGATTACACTCAACAGGCTTTTAATCAACTAGTAAAGCAGTACTTTAATTCAGTCTAAGTGCTTAAATTTGTGTGAATTTATTACTCTTTAGTTGCTTGAACGTTGATTCATGATAGTGAAAACTATTCAATGTCCTACGTTTTTTTTTCTTGGGGTTTGGAGTTGCACTTTCCTTATGAACCCTGGAGCCGTAACACAGGAAACTGCTCTGAAAAAGAATAAAGTGTTGAAGTCATTGGGTTTTTTTCGTTTTTAGAACGAAGTGACCAAGCAAAAGACGCTTGTCCGTCACGAGCGAGCCGAGCGGCTTCGCGAGGCTAACGGCGCGAGGGCACAGTTGAAAAGGTTGAGAGGCCAGGTCGACGTAGCCGCAACCCCACGAACTGCCCCTCGGCTGCAAAAGGGTCGCCGCAAAGCCTCAAACGCGTCCTCTTCCTCCTCTTGCAGCACTATTGATGATGTAGCCAACTCGAAACGGTGCTCTGGGTTAGTTAGAGGCACTCCTGCGACCTCGGTAAGTTTTGCAATCCTTAACTCACCCTTTTGGCGATGGGTGCGCGCACCTTCAATCGATTAGCACAAGCTCTGATTGAATTTTTCTAGTGGGATGGCGAGTTTCCTGTGTTCGATTAATCTCGAGTCAAAATCCGTACAATGCCTTGTTTTTGAATTTGCCTTACCGATATTCATGTAAAAAAATTATACCAGTTTCATTGAATATTTTGTTTATTCCGTAGATTGTAAGAGCGGTTTTCGTTAAGCGATAAGTTATATTTATTTTAGCGAACATTGTGAGTGCACCATAAACCCTATTATGAAGTCCGTTTAGCGTTCTGTTCTTGCGGTTGCCAACTTTGTCTTTTTGCCAGCAGTCAAAACGTTTTGAAATGGACATCCCTGAATTTTAACAAGCTTTTAGAAACACCAATGGATGTGAAACCAAGTTTCGCGGTGGTCTTAACAACTCATTGGATGACATATTTTGTTACTTTTAAAGCTTGTATTGCGGCCCAGCGTTCCTCGTCAGACTCACCACTAATGTTAAAGACGTTTTACAAAGCGAATGTATTTGATTGTTTTTGGTTGAATTTTTCAAATATTTTGGCAATACCAGCCAATAATCATTCGTATCTTAACTCCTTGCACTTTCAACAGAGTTCACCGCCTCGTGTCTAAATATTCAATTCTCGATTTTTATTATAAGGACTCCCAGTACACGAAAGCACCATGGTAAGGTGTCTTGCCTATCTGTTTGTAGAGTCGGGTGGCCGTTCTCTCTCGTCAATGGGAGATGCGCTTAGCAGCGAAGCAGCAACAAGAGGAAGCAATGCGGTTATATCTGGCCAATGGCAATGCCAAGACCCCTATCCAGCGGTTCCGCACAGATGTCACCCTGGGTCGAACTCCTTTCACCGATGCTCTTAACCGCCCCCCGGCCATAAACCCACGTCACAGACGCTCGAAATCTCTCGGGGGTGGTGGCGTCTGGCTGGAGCATAAGGAGAACCACCCGACCCCACTGGGTACGATTTTCTCTCCCACCGGCATCCACGTACGCAAGTCGGTCACCCAACTCGAACTTGACGACACGCTCAAGGCCACTGATTATGTTCTGCATCACCAGACGGCCACACCCGATGGCAATGTAGAGACACAGCTGTTTAAGGTAAGCGCACTATTTCGGTGTACCACTATGCCTCTCACCAGTATTACTAGGTTCATACTTTAAGAGGGGTTTTTTGCATCTCAGCTATGCCTTATACTTTAATTGTTCCCACAGAAACTGACGTGCATTCCCTCCTAGTAAGTGACCCATTAGAGTTGCCCTTCAATGATCACCTTCCGAAGATTTACAGATATTCATTTTGACCTAATCTGCTGCCTTAAATGCCTTGCGGTATCACAGTAAGTGTGCAACCCATGATTGAGACAGGAGATGAGCCCTAACGTTACTCGTGAAATGTGAACACTTCAAATGTGCACTTTTGCTGACTGATCTGCACCTTTGGGTTTCGTCGGCACCAACTTTTGTTTGGACACGCAACTTCGCTGGTGTTTTTGTAGGGCTCCATCATTCCGACTGCCGGTGGTGGTTCTGCGGTCGTCTTCAACGACGTGGAAGAGCTGCGCCAAGTCTCGCCTCTCAATTCTGGCCTGTAAGTGACCGCCAAGGGCTCTGTTTGCAATACCCTAATAGCCGCACACTAGATTATACTTCTGGGATGCGCTATGGCCCTAATGACTGCTTATTGCTCTTGTTATTGCCGTGCCTAGCTTCATTCCAGGGTCTTTACAGAAAAGCACCATTGTACATACTCAACTGGAACCCGTAAAGGGCGAATTTGTACCATTTTCAGACTGCTTTAAATCTGGTTCGTGTTTTTTAATCGTAGTGAAATGCAAAAACCTTACACTGTTTAACCCGGCCGTTTTTTGGAAGTGATTAAACCTATCAAGATGCATTCCGTCTAGAAACATCACTGCCACATTAGACAGAGCAGCCGGTTCAAACTAGAGCACTCATTGCTTCACTAAGGTCACTACTCCTGAACTGCAACCACGGCGATTTGGCTGCGGTGCAACTTCGCCCACCACAAGTTCTGGCCTGAGCTGCACGTTGTCGCTATCGCCTTTTCTTACTAGTGTGGCATTCTCTTTGGTTCCTATACCTGACCTGTGCAGTAAGTCTAGCCCTTCATTGCTTCCCCTTCAGACGTAGATCTGCTCGGCTTTCTTCCAAGCACTCGCTCCCCCTCACGAAGTCGGACGAAACCGCTGTCGATGAGCAGCCGCCCGCTGCGAAGCGCAGCGCCCCCAGCCGCCATGGCAAGCTCAGCCGCAGTCGGCAGCCCTCCCTCGTGTCAACTACATCGGGAATCTCATCAACCGCCTGTGACGGGAAGTATGAGCAGGAAAACGCGATTGAAGATGATACAAGGAGCCAGACTAGCTACCAAACCATCAGTCCACCATCTATGCAACTGGATATGTCCCGGTTTTATGGTATCGCCAGCACAGGAGGCATCTCAGGGGTAGGAAAGCGGGAATTTTGAGGTAGGATTATGGCTGCTTGTTGTGTGACGAATTGCTTTAGCAAACTTCCTGCCTGCTTTTTTGCTAACAGATTTCTTATTACATGTGTAATGCCTAAAGCCCTTCCCCACCTGAGCGTGAGTTCCACTGTTCGTCGACCACCATCACAGCCGAACTGCAGGCACCACACTTTGGTCGGACTTTCAATCTACTCGTGCTTGTCGTTTGCTTTGGTCTGTGTAGATTCACTTCAAGGCATCAGGTCTATCTTTTCCAGCAATCATTCCTTTAACACTGTACATGGAACCTTCTCTCTTAATGGCGTGAACTCCAAGAGTTTGCCCTTTTCATTGTCGTTTCTTCACTTAAGCTTCCAGTTTCATCTTTCGCGTAACTAAGGCGTCTTATTCGCCACGTAACGTAGTGGTCTTGGTTTCTAAGCCGCGGGACTCATAAACAGTCATTTTAATGTGCTGTTTACCCTTCCTGACTTACTTCGATCCACCCAATGTAACCTGATTGGCCAGTTTTGCCGAGGCTCAACTCTCCGTATCGAGGTGCAAAATGCACTTTATTTGTTCAAGTAATGTAGTACTTGTGTCTCACTTTTGTCGAATGCTGAAGTCATGAAATTCGCACACTTGTTGATGTCAATTATTTCTGTGGGGCGCTTTCATTTAATGGATTCCCGCTCTCCTTTTAACTGTGGTCGCTTTTGCAAATGTCTTTTTTTTACTTTTTAGATTGACCTCTCAACCCCGTCGTTTTATAGCATTTTCTAGTGTCCTTTGTATGGTCTTCTAATTCCGCGTTGATCATTTTACTCGCCGTAATTATCATCGTGCCAGCTCAACTTCATTTTATACCGATTTTCAATCTTTTTATGCCACATCTGACGAAACCCACATCCTCAATAAAGTACAATCTGCTTTACCGTAATGCTTTGTAATGTGCGGGTGGCGGGCCGTAGCTAACTAATCTTGAGTAAATGTTCTTAAAACGTATGTACATTGGAATTGGGTGACACCGATGTCATTGGCTGCAAATGGTGGCTTGATTTTATGGAAGGAGGTGCAGTTGAAACATTTCTCTACTGGCAGTCCATAAGTAGGGTAGGTATTTTTTTCCGTGCTAGCAACCAACATCCAGCGATACTATCTCGTGGAGAAGTTTGGTTGTGTAACTGACATTGTATGCAATAGATTCCGAACGGGTTCTGAGGCAGGACTGAAATGCAAAAAAAACAGAGAAGTAGCAAGCGTAGTAGCTCTAAGATGTCTGGTTAGTATTTAGGGATTCGAACGTGGGGGCGGGGTGGGACTGTTTGGATTAGAAGGCCGTTGGTGCACTCGCAACATGCAGTGTCTGGTAGGTCCTCACTTGCGCGCAGACATGACACTGGGGTGTTCAACTAGGGTTGACTAATACCACCTAGACGATGGGTCAAGGCAAAATGAGCCATCACAGCTGGAGGTGGTCGGGGCCAGCTGCGCTTGACCGCTGGGTCAGGCTTAAAGTTGGCATCGTGTGAAGCAGTGTTGTCATGACCATGTCACTACATTGACATCTTGCAGCTTGCTTCAGTCTACAACACTTGTTTTTAGTTTTTTGACCACCAATGGCCTGGCGGTGACTCTGCGTGTGAGGGCGGGATGGGAGATTGCAAATGTAAGGTTGAGAAGTCCACTATATAACCGCAGTCGCCTAGTTTTTCTAAAGAACGCAATAATTTAAGCACTTGTGAAGATATTCGGCTGCGGCAGACAACAACAAATATGTTACTTAAGCCTCAAACGAGAAATTCCCGGAAATTTGCCAGTGTTGTCACGAATGTGTAGAGATCTTGCTCCGCGTTCCAAGAAATAACATGGATGGTACATTGTGTCCCTAATTCCATCATTTTGACAAACCCTAGAATCCAGGTATGTCGCGACGAGAAGGAAATGTTTCCCTTTCACCGAAACAAGTTAACGTTTGAGTGGTTTAACCGTTCCGAAATGCGACAGGCGAAATTGATACTGAGGATCTGACCTGACCCTTCTTCAACTAAACCAGGCTTCCCACAGGTGCGGGTCGCTATTAAACTAGATGAGTCATCAGTCACATTGGATTGCGTCTGTGGGGAAGTGAAAGGGCACGTCAGCGTTGGTGGCGGTCACGAGCGGGTAGCTGAGTAGCATGGTGAGGTTGTTTTTCAACCTTCGCAATTACTGAATCCTGTAAGTGGATAATAGTTTTTGGCAACAGGATCGACTGCAGGCTGAGGTAATTCAATAGTTGTTGGTTTTGCCGGTATCTACCACCAACTCGTAAATCCTAGATGAGATAGATTTGTGTGTAAATACTACTTTAAAATTCGTTTTCGTTCTTCGTGTTTATAATAAATTAGAAGGGACGTTTAAGGATTTTGAAAAAAAGACATACCAATTTCTCTGCCAGCGTGGCAATCAAAGCATCTATTCGAGCAGGGTCAAATGTTCTGACAGTCGCATTGTTATGGATTTCCTCAGGTGCATTAATAGGTCTTAACTGGGACGATTTGGGATAGAAGCGCTGAGCCGATCCGACCTCGATCTGGCGGGCCGGCGATTCTCTGACTTCCGTTTTGAGCGGCGTTGGGAGTGCTCTCACACCCGTCCTTTCGTCCTCAGGTGCCTGGGCCAGAAGGGTCTTACGGGGAGTCCCAGATCTGACTGGAGCGTCGACAGCCGAATGAAGGGTTTCAGTTGACGCTTTTAATTCTCTTTCTTTTAAAAATCTGAATTCGGGTGAAAAATGCCTTGGTAACATGAAGAGTCATATCATTCTCAAGAACACCACCAATAAAGTGTTTAATAAAACACCTCTCTTCATGAACCGGTCTCCAGGCCAACTTCACTTCATTGAAACACTTCTCAAACGGTACTTACGCATTACTATTTGAATGCTGCTATATAGTGCATTTCGAACCTTGTTTAAATTAATCTGATTAAGAGTAATATGCTTAATCTCGAGCAGATGCTGGATATATTTAAATAATCGTGCACTTAAGAGATACCTCAGTCTCTTGTTGAAATTCTGTTGAGCCTGTACCAGCCTTTTAATATTACACTGCACATTTAAAAGTTAGCTTGCAAAATTTCAGTCCCTGTAGTCATTCTGAATAATTGAAAATGATAGTTTTTCCGTTAAGAAAACCTCATAAATTATATGTGACTGCGCATATTCTATGTAACGTGAAGGAACAGCACTGTTTTTAAGTTTGAGTAGGTTTTAGACGAAATATTTGACTCCACAGAACTAATTGTGCTGAAAGATGCGGAAAGCTTGATGCTCCACTTATTGGCATTTAGAAGTGCATTGCGGTAAAGTCAGCAATCTTTGGTGCATAGGGCATGTTTTTTGTCATAGAGGCTGAGAACCAGATCATGGAATTGGCTACACCACGGTCTCCTTTAAATATTACTCTCAAAGGTACACAGCGTTGTGAAATGACAAAGTATGAGAAAATAGAAGTATTAATAGCAATTATCACCTGTATGCTGCTTGCCCTAGATGAGAAGGCAGTGGGCTGATGATAAAATTAAATCAACGGAAATTGCAGTGTGGTCTATCTTATGCCACCGGAAGTGAAGAACCTTTGGCAAAAATTCACCATCATTCACCTCCGGGGTGTGAATTTCCACAAACTGTTTGTGTAGTTAATGAAGTACGCGGTTAGATCGCAGCCATGTTAGAACAGACGCTGTTAGATATGCTGCAAACTTACTCTGGCTGTGAGTACACCCTTCTACCCATCTTTTTGTTTTTGTGTTTAACACTAAATAAAGAAACATGCAAGACATTGCGGGCCCAGCAGTGACTTTGACAAAATTCCTCCAAAGTCTACGGTTGGATGGCAAAAATGTTAGTATTTAACGACAAGAGGGTTAAGTTTAGAGTCTCAACTGGGATGCAAAGTGTGAACCATGGGTGAGATTGGTAATGCACTTAAAGGAGACAATGAAATCTCTAATGATAAGGACGCAAATCAATAATAAATACTATAATAGTGCATGTTTTAATTCTTCGAGCAAGTCCATCTGTGCTCTCAAATGATTATCAACCGGGAATTTATTAGTCCCATGTTTTTATGCCTTTCCTGGCCAAACCTGCAAAGTGCAAAATGTTACTACATGTTTTGTAGTTGACTCGAATCACCAAGATAAACACGAGAGAAAGCAAATAGTTGTGATTGGGTAGTTGACAGGGCTTTTGTGACAACCGCTTGTTGAAACTTAAAGTCTGATTAATGGGTATTTAAAGTCTGAGACAAATTGCTATATGCGAGAAGGAGAACAGTAATCATCCATATAAACACTTTTGTACGTTTTCAAAGATTATAACACAGGCTACCTTTGTAATTTCTGTGTGAGAAAATAGTTCTTAAAGTACAACTCTTACAAAACGTGTGAACGAAAATGGTGAAGGAACACGTTTTTCACAATTGCATTTCTGCCATAAATCCGGCAATATGAAGCAGTATATTAGGGCTCGAAAATTATCGACTTTACCAGCAATCCCCTAAGAGCAGCATATTTATGAGACTTCTGTCTATTTTTGTTATGCTCGCCCCACCCACCATCAACTAATTGAACGTTCTTCTTAGTCGCTATTGGCGTCTTTCTCAAGTTAATAACGAAGTGCGATGTTGTAACTGCAGAAACCTCAGCGAGGAATTTGCGTCATTAAATTTTATGAGTTATGTGTCAAACAGAATCAATAACGAGAAACCAGTAATTCGGTATCGTCCTCGTGCATTATAATGAGAAAAATGAAAACATCAAGACTGAAGAAAATCGATGGAAATCTCACCCTGGAGAAACGTTAAACCTGGGCAACCGCCGAATTGGTGGTAGTTCAAGTTTCGCCGGTCCGATTATCTGGTTTTTTGACATATCCCCTTGTAGAAATTCTATTCCAATAAGTTTTAATCTCATAGTCATCTTTATACGCACGTTGGGCCTGTGCGGCGAGCTACGATTTCCATTGGGTATTTCCAACTGACCAATCACAACGTAGTGTTGCCATGACAATAGGGCATGTCTCTAAATCTAAGATCTTCAGACTAGATATTAAGTGGTCACCGATTGGTGAAGACTTTACAGCAACCAGTTTTTTTGCGAATCAAAATAAGTACCAGATAAAAAGAAAACCTCAAAAGGGCTTCCGATGAATGGGAGCCTTTGATGTAGCTAAATCGCGACCGCTGGATGTTGACGTGTAGTGAATGTTATGGGTGTTCACATGACGCATTGATGTGGGCTGTTCACACGAGTGAATTGAGAGGCTCAAACAAAAGGAACCATTGTTTTGGGGAAACACGTTCCCACTTTGATAGGCATCAATTTAATCGGGATTTAAATGTGAGGAACTCCATTTAAATGCTAAAATTCGGGAAATGAAAGCGGATATTTGTAAAGAATACCATCAGTTTCAAACAAAATTAGTTCTTTCAAATTGCAAGTTTTAAGTTTGCTTCAAGGTGAGTACTAAAATTCCCTTGCCTTGAAGGAAGCTTCTCAAATATGGTTTAAATTTCATAAGTATAATGAGAAGCTTGAAGGTAGACAAACTCATGTGGCGCATTGCGTATTTAAAATTAAAGTATTCTCAAATCTGAAGAATAGTGCCCATGCTATGTCTGAACCCATTATCGTGCCACTGTAAGATTGACATGACTGAGTCAAAAGTAAGTATTTTGTGGTTACAAGAATTTGTTTCCTGTCGTCTTTATATTTATCAAGCTGATTCAATTTATAACGTCTAAGTTTACTGAACAATCCAACATTCATGCCGACTAATGTTGCCGAAATTTAAAAGTAAGGTATCCAAAAATAATCAGTTGAGAAAATATTGGGCGTCTGAGGTTTGGTTAAATTGAAATTGCTTATGATTTCGTGTAGGCCTTGCATGGACATACGTAAAAGTATTTAGAGGGCATCTTTTGTACGTCTGCGAGCGCTGGTCATCTCTGCAAACAGATTACCATGTAGACCAATTGGATAAAAGTAATAATGAATGTACGATTTCCCTGTGGATACTTCCTAAATGAATGCCTTATAGTCAAAAAAGCTGTTTTTGTGTGACTTTTTGCAGTTATGCATTATAGCATTGAAGTTAATTCCACGATTATTTGACTTGGTTGTGATTATGACAGGTTCAGTTGATCATCGGTGGTGATAGAATTTTAAAAGCGGGGCAAAATAATGCCTTCCTTAACATGAACTAGAAAAAAAATATCTCTAAATGCGCATATTCAAACCGTCCAGATGATCATGTTGGCTACATTTTGGGACTAATTGTTTGCCTTCGTTACTTCGCACCAGATGAAGAAGTGGACGTGTGACACTAGAGGCACGCGTTAACACGGCACGAGTGGACGGCTTGATCCCCTACAATGCACCGACAGCCGCGGGACAGCCCGACTAGCCGCATAAATTGAAGTAAATTTTGCCAAAACCAGTACGAAACTCCGTACCATGAATTCAAGCTGATCATGTTTTTAAAAGGCAAGCTCTAGTATCGAATCTTCACCTTCCCATTTTTACGAAACCTTCACTGATTAACAATTTATTGGCTCTGAGGGTGACACAAAAGGAATCTTTGAGAACCATGTCTTCGTTATGCAAATAGCGTGCAGCTTTGGTCCATACATCAAACGGAAATAGTTTTGCACTTTGCAAACAAAACCAGTTTATCGATAATCGCCTGGTCTTATGGATACCGGCATTAGTCACGTTCTTTTTGGCGCGATTTGTGTTTCCCACGCTTTTCAAAGAAATCTTACTCAAACAGCCCACTCACAAGCTCCGCCTTGACAAAATGAACAAAAAGCTGAGCATTCGGAGTGCCCTTTAAAAACACCCTTTGAATTCAGCCTATCGAGTTAATTATAAAAAAAGCATTCACAAATAAAGTCAGATCCATGGGCATGCGAATGCAGCCTTGTTCTGATGTTGCGAAATTAAATTATTCGCTGAGAGAACCCAAAGGCCAAATTTGGAAAGGCGATTGCTTTGTGACTAAACAAAATAAGCAAAACTGGCGTAAGAATGCCCTGACGCGGCTACTTATTCTAGCCGCCACAGCATTTTCAAGACGTCTATCACTCCTGGTGAGTAGCACTGTTAAATGAGGCTACAACGGCTCCGGTTAAGCGAATCATAACACATATGGGAGGTACACGTTTTGAAGTTATTATGGCTGTTCTGCCCTGCCTATTTTCGCCGCTTAAGTCAGAGGCTTAGCGCGCACAACAGGCTACTGTTAGTCAGTGCAGTTTTACAAGTCTGAAAAAAAACGTTTTCCGTAGGAACTTCCGGTATTCAATTTGGGGTAGTTACGTTAATTAACTCACAAAATGCAATGAACAGAAGCGGTGTGGCTATGTCAACCAACTTCCGTTCTGTTAACTAAAACATCGCCACTTATCTGTTCGTTAATTTTACAAAACTACTGCATCATTTGAAATGACGTAACTTGTAACTTATCTGGGCTGATTGATCCTGCTTAATGACTGGATGCTTGACCAGTATCACCAGCCAGGTGTTTTGCCAAGAAAAGCTTTTAGGTGAGTCGACACGAACGAGAGACCAATAAGATTGGAACTTGCAATCGCCGATCTTGTGCCACTCACGAGCAACGATAGGTTGCCTGGCTGAGAGCACAAGGCCCTTGACCTCAGCTGTGCATAAGAGGCTTTAACGCTGCCTAGTCTCATCCGAATTTTCAGGCCATCAACTGGGTTATCAGGCGAATTACAGATCTAAACCATCACTATCTGTCTCATTAAAAGCATCATTCGAAGTTAGTTGGCAGGCCAAGCAAAATTGTCCCACAGGACTCATCTGCAACACTTATCTGGAGCATCTGCAAGACAGATGCTTAGGACGAATTAGAACACATAAACCACCTACGGGCTGTGGGCTTTCATACAAGCCCCCCTCCATGGGTTCCAAATTGAAGAACCAGCAGGATAATCAACCAAGGCCTCTCGACTAAAAACTGCCCCACCCATGTTAAGTACCTCCAAAAAAGAACATTCACGCCTTAAATCATTAACATTTAAAGCCACAATGCAGTAACTTCTGACCACAATCGCGTTTGTATGGTTCCAAGGACCTTTTTTGCGCACATCTTGTAGTCTTAAACTCGTCCCACGTACAAAGGCTTCATTTGCATCCCCTGGAACTTTCGAGCGATTCCGTTGATGGTTAAACATTTTTACTTTACCAGCATTACCTTCTAAATCTGGTTTCAAGGGCTCACCATTGACCACCTCCCACGCTTCTACTACTAAAAATTAGCAGACAGTAAATCACTTCGGAATTTGTTAAATCGGTAACATGTGTGTTGGCGTCATCACTAACGCATTGGCACGGGGAATTATGCAAACTGGAGTATGAAAAAAAGTATGGTTAATTAGAGGGATGAAAACCATAACTTATAAAGAGAAAAGCTTGGGAGGGAAAGAGGCATCGTAGACGGCGGTGGAATGAGAAACGCGTTTGTTTGGGAAATGCCAGGCAGGAGACGGTGAGCGTTAAAATTGATACGCAAGTGAGTGAGAGGCGATACTCGGTTACGATGCCGTAATTCCTCATAAGTGGAGAACCGGTTCTGCAGTACATCCGGGTCAACGAAGAAGTTTCCACAGCTCATTGCTATAAAACAGGAGAAAATAGCATCTAGGATTTGCGGGAATCGGAGCATGGATCTATTTTGTTCTGCTACTTTTGATAAAAACACAGGAATCCGGACCTGGCCCATGTTAAAATTTGTAAAAAAAGCCACTCCCAAGGCCAATTTAAGGTCAGGTCAAAATTGTTAAATTATAAAAAGTACATAAAAACACTTTCTTCACGACATTTTCCCGCCAATGGAATTGAGGGCAGTTTTGAATTCTCGTTTAGCTTTCTTAACATTCAGTTTCTTCTTTGATTAGTGGTAAATAGAAGCGGTTGCAAACTACGCACAAGGAGTTTATTGTATAAGGGAAGACTTGACCCCAAACACGTCGAAGAGATTGCACCTTTGTCTTTATAATCTACTATTCCAACTAGAGAAGTTGTAGGAAATTGTGAAGTTGTATAATTTGTGTTCCTGACCGTAGTAATCCCTTTGATAAATCGACCTGACTTCAAATGATTCCAAAGAATGACTCTAGTAAACAAAATGATACCTTATTTGGAAAGGGGACTCAATTGGAATGCTGCAATCATTTGATTAGGTTCAACTAAGTGCCTGCAAAACTCTAACGGCATTAAAACGACGCTCAAAGAGCTCGCATGAATTGTATGCAAATTCGCAAACCAAAAGTTAGCCAAAAGGGACCTCATTAAACATGTCTCGTTGGATATGGAGGAGCAATTTATCGGGGCATGCAATTTGAAGGTAATCTAGAGAATACACATGGTTAATTATTACTTTGGCTAAGGTATGCCCCACCTACTGACGTGTTATCCTTGTGGCTATAAATACGTAGGTGAAAAATCTTAAAATTGTGCGCATGAAGGAAATGCTGAACTATGCCAAAATCTATCTTTAATTTGTAGTTTATTTTTCGACAATCATTAAAGCAGTGCCCTTGAAAATACACTGACAAAATATGTTGGATTTCGTGAAAGAGATGAACATGACCACTTGTTCTTTTAACACGTGCTCACATGACACTATTATTAAAAAAAGTTTAATGTTAAATGTACGATTCACTGGCCACTTAATGCCAGCTGAAGAGAGCTCTGCACAATTTATAAAAGCTGCCACTTTGTCACTTCATTTCAATTACACTTTTCACTTAGTTCTCCTCGTGTGAAAGCGAGTGGAAAACGATTACGAAACCACACATAATTTAGGCCTGCTAACGGCTGGGTCACTGCTGAGGGATCCTTTCTATTTTACTACTTTCTTCAGTCTCTAGTTATTAACATGCCAAATAACATGCGGCTAATCCCTCTGACGAAGTGTTGGACAGAAAAAACCAGAAGGAACATAAGCATCATCCAAAATCACTTTGAAAATGAAAGTTACCTTCAAAATGGTTTGACGTGGTACACGCGATGGCACCCGTATCCCTGTAGGAGTTGATCTAGTGGCCGGTGTGGACGGTGGACTGGTGCTAGCAGAGTTCGAAGGACTGTCAAGGCCGTTGCGCGTGCCGGAAGAGCTGCGCTTGGGAATCGAGGTGCGGGACTGGTAGCGAGCGCCGCCGATGGCGTCCGTGGTTACCAAAGGCGGTCTAATGTTAGACGTCTTGCCACCTGTAGGAGGTGATGGGGTCTTCTACAAAATACGTCCAACTACACCCTTGATAGGCAGTCTGGATGATCAGCCGAGACAAATATCATTTAGTGCTTCCCACCACGTAGCTAGCAAAACTAAGTTGTCATCAAACTAAGCACACGAAATCTGTCAACACAACGTTAATATCAATGGTAGACGAGGGTGCTGTCACTGTGAAATCGAATCCCAGACGTATGATAAGCATGTTTACTAGGCCGGCTATTCGGATGTAGCATTTATTCGATAAAAAATCTGGAGTATATGGTTTCCTAGGATCCACGATACAACCCCCAATTTGTAACCAAATAGTCAAACATTAAGCGAAATTCATAGACTGTAGGCAAATAGGCAACTAACGAAGTCAGTGAAGTGCTTTAGATGAACAGCAAGCGCCTGCATACCTGAATTGTTGGTGTTGAGGGGGAATTAGTTTGCAAATCACCTTCAGGTCCTGGCTTCGTGGCCGACGGCGAGGGACTCTGGGTGATCGAGGGTGCGTGTCGGCCCTTGTACACGTTGATGCCTGGCTTATTGACGACTACTTTGGGACCCATCAGACCTGACGTGCGTCGTGCTTGGGCGGTGGGTTGCGCTGGTTGCGGTGGCGACGGTGAGGGACTTTCCCCTGGGGTCCCGTTGTGAGAGAAGGTGGAAGTCTCCGGTACAGGCAATTTCGCAACGGAGTCTGTGGAAAAACACTAAAACCTCAGCAAAGGGACCCCACCCTGATTAACTGAGTGCAAATCAACCCAAAACATGTTTGCTTACACAAGTAGCAAGGTTCTAACTAAGAAGGCAGTCGTAAAAGAACGGCAATATGTGCCAAAAGATTTAAGTAAATTCAAAGGCACCGAAATGGTGACAAAGCTAACTTAGGGGCAAACAAAATGTGTTTTTAAGTTGGGAACCGTTGTTAATGACAGCCATAAATAACTTGTTTAAAAATTATCCCGACTAACTTAATTCTCCTTGATAAATGTGGGAACATGACAATTTGGAGGAATATGAAAATTGGACCCAAAGAGAGTGAGATAACAACCAGCAATTCGATGTGAATTCGGCTGGTGGACTGGGTCAGAGCAGCTATAAAGTCTAGGAAACGAAATTCATTACCACCTGACGTCAAACCAAGAAAGGTGATCTAAGTTAATCTAAAGTGTATGTACATGATCTCAGCCAATATCGCCATGTGGTTACTGTCAGAAGTTCCAATGTGATTGGCTCATCTAACTAACGAAACAATGCGAAAGTAGAAAACGAGAATAATGAGGAACAGCAGAAACGACAAAAGATAGAAACCTCAACACGATACCAAGTTTAAAAGATACTCTGCGCCGTGCCAAAGGAGGACGGTAATTAGTAACACTCGAATTCAGATCTGTGGAAAAAATTGCAAGTGCTTTAATGTGTACGTTTATACTTACCTTAGCAGATGATTAATGAAACGCAATGTCTTGAAGGCTCATTCATAAGGCACACAGCCTCGACCAGAATGAGGATGACGCATTAAGAAAATGCAACAAGGACGAACAATACAAAGCAAACACAGATTTATTATTGGCTGCTTGAGTCAAGACTCCAGTAACGACAGAAGTGGCAGGCGTTCGCCTGTGGCCGAAGCCCCAAATATGGGATTGTCAATTTCGTAATCGCTGGATGTTAGTTCTATCAGTTTGGCGCAGGAGGTGGCTAGCTATAGTCACAATTATGGAGTATTCGCTAATTCCCGAAATGAGCTATTTGTGCTCTTACCAGTGTCCGTAGACTCCACTAGAGTTCTGTTGACTTCAAAGGTGCTATTGATGTCATCTGAAAGAGCGGCAATTTTGTCAGCAAATCGGTTAAATTAGACTCGCCATTAACCAAAAACAGAAAATCACAAACAACAAAGCAGGACAGTGGGAGTTATTCGGCCAAATGACAAGAAACAATGTACCCACTTGAAAGAGGTGGACATCAATGTGAGAAAACGACACAGCCATTCACTGTGGGAACTTTACCAAATTAATTCACCCTCTTGTTTGTAATATATGCAAGGACGCGTTTGCAGTAAGTGGCTTGGAAGGAGACGCTAATCCGGAGGAGTAAAAAGGCAATTCAGGTTGAAGTGAACGCCCGAAAATCAATGATCTGACAAACTAGTCCCAACGAAACAGCTGACAAAAACAGTCAGTACCCAGGTTTTGAATGGGTGTGTGTTGACGTGAAGTTGACGTCTTTGTCAAACAGAATTGGTCCAAAGATGACGAATAACCGGAAATTCTTTTGACGAGAGGAGTAAAATGTCTTGTCACTGGGCAAGAGCGGCACAAATAGTTCCTTTAAATAGGAGAATGTCGTCAGCAGTCAAGTACAGGGCTGAAACACATGTGCTCCTTCACCATTATAGAGCCCCGGATCGGTCAACAAAACCACAAGGAAACATTAAACTAATAACTCCAAAACACTTCAGCCGGCCTCCAGGTATAAAAGGGCCCACAAGACAGAAAAAAACAAGCAAACCTGAAGATGCATCAGAAAGTTCGAGTACAGGAGAATGAGTCAGGATGGAGCAGTTGTCAACACTGTCTGAGGGCACAAAAGTAATGCATTACGCTGGGGAAAGTTGTGCTGGCTGCATTTGCAAAGCATTCGCAGCCACTCACCACCACAACTCGCTGTGTCGCACCTATCCAGGACCTCGGTAGCCTCCGGTTTCCCAATGAAAGCGCCTAACAAGGTAGGTCGAAAGTAAGACTCGTGTTAAGACAGAGGCTTTGATTCAAAACGCAACTGTGAAGCGAAACGGATACAAGAAACCCACAACAAGTAATGCTAGCCAGGCGTGCGGTCACCGTAGCAACCACACAACCCCTCTACCTGTATCCACAAGTCTATGCCTGGATTTGGGCTTTGGGAAATCAAGTGCAGGCAAATCTACGAAGAGATTGTTTTCAATTAGTGTTCTGTCATATCGAAATTCCCACTAAATTAACACAAAGTGTACCCTGCTTGGTGGTGCTCGTTTCGATCGGTCCAGGGTCATCGGTTGCTTCGTAACCTGAACGACAGGAATATAAAGCGCGCAATTAAAAAGACGCATTAGTGGTGACAAAGTATCGCTATAAAAGCAAGTGATGCGCTACATTCGGGCTCCAAGGGTGGCGGAGAAGATCTAGTCGATGCGATGCTTGGAAATAGAGGCAAAATCAGCGAACTTGGCTCTAGACGAAAAGCAAAAATAACTTGAATGGAAAAACGGAACAGCAGAACCAAAGACACAAAGTTGGACAGATCGAACCAATTGGAGGACCCAAAACGGAACTAAACGATCGTTTGCTGGAAGAAAGCAACCGTCTTTGCTCTTAAAAGACAAAAATGGAAAAAAATGGCACTTATGGATGAAACTGCGATAAGTGGACTACACTTGTGAGAACCAACGCATACCAGAAGCAGGAAAGGCTGGGGTTTCGGATGCTCGGAGCATCAGTCTCGATTCCCAAATTACGTCAATCCCATTGGCTAAGACACAAGGATATCATTAAAATGTACGCCAAACAAACAAAGCTTGCAAAACAACATTCGAATGACGCATTACCTGTGGTTGCGATACTCGTGCGAGTTAGTGGAGCGTTGCCCAGGATTGATGAAATTATATCAATGGGCCCTTATGGTGAAATTACAGACTGATGGTTAGTAGTATGTGAATAGATTAAGAATATGCCCACACAACGCTAATTACTTGGATGCTTTCGTCCAGGTTCCACCGATTCTGCCAAAGGGTCCAACGACTGCGGGGTGACATCCGGTTGCCAGAACGTCCCGGAGGAATCTGCAAGGGAGATTAGTAAGAACTTAATAAAAACGATGTCCCAGTTACCAGTCGTGGTATTCCAGAGTATCCTTTGGTTCGACTTGGTTGTGCAGTTTCCCAAAAATCGAACTGGAGTAGAAATCCTCATGTGGAATAAAGACGACGAGCACCACTCGGATTGTGATAACACTGAATTGCCCAGGAGAATCATGCACTAGGGAAAAACCTGTTGACCTTTCCCATTGGTACTTCTGAAGAAATTTTAGTCATTACTGGAAATGTATTACATTTTTGTGTGTAGGAAACAAATTCCTTATTCTCTATGAGTGCTAAACTTTTGATTTTTCTCAGCTCTAAGCCACAATTATGGAGCGATTAGCTGAAAAAACAACTCACGAAAAGGGTGATCATGGAGATCGATAATAACGTCTTGGCAAATTCCCTAATGTTGCCCCGGATCTCTTTTCAACAGATAAGCAACTTTGTCGTCTGTTTTTACCTCAAGTGCGTAAAATAACATCCGGCAACGAAAAAAATCCAGAGGAATGATGCCATGACTACCCTCAGTCATGACTAGATGTTTAGCAGAACGGAATCAAAAATTGGTGGAACTATGGCTTGAAGTGGTTAGCAATGATCGATTTATTTGCTTGTTAATGGCCGAAATAAAATCAACCGAGCATTTTTAACATCACTTGAGAATCGTGGTAGATGCTACCCCTAATTTACAGTGCTATTTCGGGTGTCATGTACAAAGGTTAATTAGAAAAACGGCAAACGGAAGACATTCCACCTTGACAGCTGATTTACCTATGCAAGACTGGATTCGGCAAAAAACCATTGGGCAGCGTACGTGTATCTGTTAAATTTGAAGCATTATTCGATGCCGAAAGGCCCAAACCCCAGATCTCTCTAAACATTAGTTGAAAGCAAAAATGCCCACCTGAGGGTTTGGAATCTAAGATTGCGTCAGCGGAGGAGGAGGAATTGTGGGTGATGCTGGAAATCGCTCGAGTGGGATTCCTGGGTAGCGGGATGCCAGAGTGCGGGCTGCCGCCCCCGCTGGAGACAATCGACATCTTCCCTGGGCTCGAAGGCACGATCGCCGATTCCGGCTTCTTCAGAGAGGGACTTGAGGAACCATTGGCTGCAGGGCCTGCACAGCCGACGTCCTCCGGCTCATTTTTGATAATCAAGCTTTAAAGTTAAGCAATAAAAAACCAGCAGTTTCAGAAATATTCACTCCGAGACACCGTGCTGTTGAACACTCATGAAATTTACCAGCAAAATTACACTGCATATTCTTATTAACAAGGTTTTGTTAGTAGAACTATTAGAAATTTGTACGTTGAAATCGAGCTACGTTTATTACCAGCAAAAGTTCGCCTGATTTTAGTGGCCAAAGACTACCAACAAACCAAAGTCAGCAATCAAAATAGCTGGAGTTAATCTGGTAGCCACGTCTAGCGTACTTGGCCTCTGCACAATTGGAAGGACCATGAAAAATATTATCCCTTGTATCTTACGACTAAATGCGATGAAAGTTAAACTGTCAAAAGTTGCATTAGCGTTGACTGCATGCGAATGCAAAAAAATTACCTCGGAGGAATATTTTCCCTTTCGTGCGTTTTTGTGGAGAATGCGAGTTGGGTTGTCTCTGTTGACGAGGACGTATTTAGCGGCTTAGGTAACGGAGCGTCACATTGAGAAATTATCTTTCCGATGTGTTTAGATGGAGATGGTTGGGGTGCAGTGGTTGTGCCGTCTGGCTCATCCACATTTTTGCTGCAAGGAAAACACCAGCACTACTTACAAAATATCAATAGCAAAGTATGCGAACTCAATATCACCAAAGTGGCCACAGTTCTCGACAGATTGGAAAATGCAGATGCCTACTTTGGAGTCTCTATTGTGGTCGGAGGCGAGTTTTCGAACACCCTGGTAGGTATTGGAGGTTTCGATGGAGACGCGACGATGTCGGCAGGCTGCGTCCGAGGGCTGGGGGTGGGGACTTGGGAAACGACGGGCGCCAGCAGCTGCTGCGCATTCGCGGTTTCGGCACTGGGTTCCTCCTCTTTGTGAAGAGGCTGGACGCTGGAAGTAAGGACAAGACACCATTATAACAGCGCCAAAATGCAGAAGTAGGTAGTAATACCTAATTCGCGGTTAGGTCTAACACACAATTATGCACTCAACTACAGTACAACGACAACAGAAATCTGACTAGGAATTGGAAAGTCTCTACAACGTGTTACCAAAGTGCCCTTGAGCAAAGTAGGCAAACTACAAGTGATAATGTGAGTAAACAACAATAACACAAGCATTAATTAAAGGGGCACTCAACAAGGTACCTTTGTGGCAGCCAAAACAACGATAACTAAGTGGTAATATTTCACATTGCTAGTTCAGTTGGGATAAAGACAGAATTTAAGCAATGAGCCACTTTTGCAACAACAATTTTCCAAAGATTTACCTTGAGGTCGGTTTAAAAGCACTAACGACAGGAGTATTGTTCAAAAAGCAGGTGCTTTAGCCCCAAAGGAATAGACTAGTAATGCGTTAGCATAAATTACGGTACGCACAAGAAAGTGTTCGCACAATGTAGGGTTGCATTAATTGAATTAATGGAAAAAAGCGAACTTGTCATTGCCTCTTCTAAGACGGAAAGTCGAAAAAAAAAATTTGATTAATGGCCGCAGCTACTGACGTGTTGGTACAAGAAACAGAACAAGGTGGTACTGAATGTCCGAGCGACTACCAAGAAGGCACGGCGCCCAGGAGTATAGCGCGTGCTGATCGCCAATTCGAGGGAACTTCATGCCCTGAAAATATGCGAGTAAGTAGGGGGAAACGCAGAGGACTTTGTCTATCAAAAAACAGATAACAGATCACGCAAGTGGTGCATAATTGTTACAGCTCAAGGCGAATTCATTAGTGGATAGTTGCGCTTGGGAATAAAATGGTGAACAAAACTACAAAAAGGCAACTGCGCATAAATACGTGAATATAAGAAAAAGCTACAAAATCAATAAAAAGCTGAGATTACTCATTTAGCTAGGGAAAACGCCAACAAGCCATTTTGAGTACAGAGACGAATTCGCACGGGGCGTAGGTCGGCAGTGTGCCATAAAGGAAGAAATGAGAGTGAGGCATTAGCAGTTAAAAGGAACGCGACAGCGGGATTCCTGTGCGAGTAAAGCCACCCTGACCGATGCACGCTAGTGAAAGGTGGATGGCACCACCTTTGTTGCCGGGGCGGTCACGTTTGTCAATGGACGAAGCCACGGTAGCATTTTGCAAAGCTGAGTAAAAATACACGACATTTGCATTAGATCTTTTCTGCATTGGTTTATGTGGATCGATTAAAAGGACGGAGAAGGGAAATGGCCGTCGCGAACAGCAACTCTCAAGTGGCTGAGAGAGCAATTCAAAATCCTGCCGAATTATTGGGAGGTTATGAACGAACTTACTCGCTATTTGTCTTAAACTGTAATCTGATATCACCGTGATGCATTCGCGTGCAAGCTACCAGGGTTCGGTGTGACTGTTTTTTCCTCGAAAAAAAAACATCCACACCTGGTTACAAAGGGATCTGGTAACTCTAGGTGGTTAATGCAGTGCACGAAAACTAGCCCGTGAGCAGCTGCAGACATCAAACAACCGCCAGCTCAATGAAAGAGGGAAGCGAAAGTCGACAACATAAAATAGGCAAAATGGAGGCGTTGGGAGGAGGGGGTCCACCGCTTACGGTTACCTGGTCCCTTAAAAAGGTGCCACAATGTGTCGAGAAAATGCGGGTCCTCTTGAAGCAGTGGATGGATTTTCAAGTGATCTACGCACCTGAGATTTCGAGAATGCACGAAGACCAACAGCAAGACACAGAAACAAATCGATAGACGTGGAGACGGTCTGGTGTCTTAGGCGCCAAACAACCTTCGGAGTTGTGCAAATGCAGATCTCTCTTACATTGTAAAAGACATATTCGACTGATTACAAATACGTGAAGCATGCGCAAATTGTCAAAACTAATACAAAAACAATGGAAATGAGGGAGGGAGTTGCTACTAATTTTTTCTTGGCCTCTTGAGCAATCCTACGGACCGTGCCACGGGCTAACAAAAACATCGCCATTAGCCAATTAGGTGCGCGTTCTAAACTTCAAATGCGCCAATTGGTCCAACAGGTAGAGGAAGGTGACTCTAGCCTGCCTCTGCCCCAGAATGTGATTAGACTAATGGGGAATGCGAGTTCCGGCGTTCTCCCTTTGTTCTTCTGTTGTTCTAAGCCTCTAACGGACATGTGCATTTATTTAAAATCATACTGCAGTAGTTTCCGGAGGTTCAGGAAAAAGAAAAAGTAGAGGAAAACAGAGAAAGTATGCAATGACGTTAGGAAAGACGCGGAGTTAAGGAGCACATTACATTGATAATCTGCTAGATTAAAAGTAGTCGCTTTGACAGATGTTAATCAAGTAAGAAGACGAAGGAAAAAAAGCATAGGACCAGTCTCCCTCAACTGACGTAGTGTCATGGACGCATTATACAGTAGAAGTTATGGTTACGTATGGGAGACGCAGACGGGAAGGTTGTGGATAGTTCAGTGATAACAATCGATTGTCGATTGTAGAACTAAGTCAGCTCTACCGAATTTACATGAAAATGTTAGCTGAACATGGGTATATATTCATGGCGTGCGTTGCTTTAAAAGGAACGATACAAACGAAAGAATTGGAGTCTTGAAACAAAAAATCCAGCGCAGCAGACCACTCAGTTCTGTAATCTGCCTGGCGCCAACAACCCCCAGCTATAATTGCGACGCAGCCGCCTCTTCTACTAAAACAAAACCGACTGAGAGGGACCCTTGAATGGGTAGTGAATTATTTAAATGAGCGAAGGCACCTGAGCTCGCTGGCGCCGGGCAACCGCGGGGGGAGGGGGGGGGTGGACAGGTTAAAACGAGAAACGCAACGCACAACACAATTCATCATCGTCAAAGTCAGCACTACCGCCATCGTCATTTAGGTTCGGGGTTTCTTCTCTGTTAGTTGAAACGACTAGAACAATCGTTGACAGGAGGTCGCAAACGGTTAAGCAATGGTGCGTTTGACGGCCCAACTATTCCCTGTACAAATTCCAGAGGGTAGTGCTCAAATAGCAACAACAGTGAAAACACCTTATTACTGCAAGTCTCATAGGAGTATGTGGCTTGAAATGAGCAGAAATTCCAATCGAGAATCCTGCGGGATTCACGCTGAAAGCCAATTCATGACATAAACCAGGCCTCAAACGTTGTCCGCTAGTAAAATCAGCTCTGCTTCATCCAACGCCAGGTTCGACTTGAACGGTCTACGAGGAGATTCAATGAAACAGGCAAAGCGAGGCAACAAAGTTGCACACCCAAGTTAATTCTGTGCGTCCCCATACCATGGGTTATCTTCAATGTCCGGCTAGCGGCCTTGTCCTAGAACAGAGTAAACGACTGGTGCCGGCAAAGCAGTCGATTTTGGTAGCGCAGATCTCACAAAATGGCAACGACTCGCTTTTGGGGTCAAGACGACGAGATGAAGTTCTGGAATGACTTTACCTAAGAAATCCATTTACGCAAATTCCTCATATTATCTTGCTATAATAATTGAACGAGATTAAAAATGGCAATAATGAAGTCCTTTTGGGATTGCTAGTTCACCTTGAGACTACAAAGGCCAATTTCGGTCAGCAAATAATGAGTTTCAGGAGCCAACATAATTTAGAAAGGTGAGCGCTCGTCGGGTTGCATGTAATGGTAAAACCGAGATTTTGTACAGAGTGGCTCTGTGGTGGGTAGTAATGCTTAAACGGGAAACGTGTACTAACGAAATTTAAGATTTACCGCCCATCCTGTTGCGAAAAGCACACACAAAAAACTGCTTTTCATGTGGAAGGAAAGGCACAGGGTAGCTCAGCCGCGGCTAATGCACCGCATTCGTTATTCTAAGATTTCTATCAAGCTGTTGGTAGTTTATGTCTGCCCCTGTGGGGTCCTTTTGTCTCTGCCGCCTTCCCCGTTTCTGCCGCTCCTTCACCCCTCTAACGGTCCTGCAAAGCACTCACGTGGGCCTCGCACACCTGCACAGCTGAAAACAACCGGTGAACTGTGCAAATAAATGTCGACGATATCGCTAGGTTAATAACTAAGTCTACTGGACTGCCTTACGAGGTGACGAATTAGGATGGATCGACGTTCGGAAACGCATGACCTTGAGCGAAGAGAATGTGAAGTGTAAGAGTGGGTTCACGTGAGATTACAAGAGCAGCGGTGTAGTTGAAGGAAATAAAAACACTTTAGTATCTTCCACTTATCCCATGGTTCGCAAAAAACGTGTTCGGGCAGGCTTCATTGAACCAAACTACGACAAACTAAGGTGTGGAGTTACAATGTCGGAAGAGGTTATAGAGGGGGGGTTGTGGTGTGTGCGGGTGCGTGGCAAGACAAATCAAGGCTTGACAGTTAATCTGTGTAACGTTGTTCGTCTGCCTCAGATTTGTCCTCGGATTCGTCTTCCACCCTTTTAAATACAAAAAAGAGTGCGGCTTATGAATGCAAGCCAAGGACAAGGAATGTGTTCGGTTAGGCAAGGAAGATGAGCCCAGAAGTCGTGTGAATGAAGTCCCGTAAACAAGACCAGGCCACATGGAAAGAGTAGTCTGCAGATTCCATAGCTTCATTTTGACGACTTTGGCGCTGAGAAATACAATTAGGGTCCACGCCATTAATTTACTTAAATTCGCTTTAACCAATGCTACACTTCGCTGTTCGTTAAGTAGCCAAATTCGAGTCCAAATTGAGAATGGATGAAGACGCTATAAACAGAGAGCGTTCGCAGAAGTGGAGTGCAGCAAGAAAATTTCCCACTGATTCATCTAGTTCCAAAGATTACAGAAAATGGCCCCTCACATCATCCAAAAATGAGCACGCAGTCATTAAAGATATCGGGCTATAAAACAAGCACACAGTCGGTGTTTAAATTTTGCCCGCCAACATAATTCCCAAGGGGATTGGCGCTTTTGGGAAATCACCCACGAGGACACGAATTTAATATCTGAAGGTCGCACCAATCCAACAGGCCCAATCGAATATTTCTTGGGTGAAGGAATTCAGCACAACCAGAAAGGGACTTTACCGTGGTTGCTGACAGGGAGCGGAGCATGCAAGTTAGACACAAATTGACATGCTCACTTTTGTTTTACACACTGCCTTTTAAATTGCTTCCTACCGTGTTCACGAAAACTTAAGTACCGTATTGGCATTGTCTTTCTGACTGGTATCAACCCTGGGTAATTACATGCACCAAAGACTAGATTTTTGACAAAGCAGAATAAGGCTTGGTTGAGAAAAATCGACTAAAGGGGAGACGGGGCTGTGGGGACGGCCCGAACGGGTGGATGATACTCAGTCGACAAGGTACGCCCTTTTTTGTCCTTAAACAGTACTTTAGGAAGGCATGCAGAACACGATAAACAAACGCAATCCGTAACAAAACATGGAAGCAGCAGGTAAATGAAAAGGGGAAAACGTACTTCACCGCGGTGACATCGACGTCGCCGGTCGGCTCCTCGGCAGTGGGGCAAGGGGACACTTGGGAGGGTGGCTCGACCACCTGCTGGAGGTGTTGCGGAGGGACCACCTCCGTCGTGGGGGCACCTACGTCGCCCTTTTCCAGTGTTTGTGAAACTGCTGAGGAGTACAAGTCAGCGTCTTTCTCCTTTCTGCCCATACAATTGAGCCTGGAAGGAGGCGCAAAAGTGGGTTAGAAGGCCGCACAGTCGAGTCTGACCGGACCACAAGTTGGGGCAGGGGCTGTGTGGCCAGATACTATGGCTTAGGCCCTCGGAACATACAGCACGCAAATCCACGTTAGAGTAAACATTATTTGGTGGAGCGATCGACAATACAGAAGGTTAGTAGTACGAAGTCTTGTTTAAACATATTACTACGTCGCGTGAGATGCGATTTGGGCGAAATTCCATTGTTTCACATATTAAAAGACAACAATATTTAGAATGTTGTAAAGTGGTACACAGACATACGAAGGGGTTTTCAAACTCCCACGATGGGCGTCAGATAAAATGGGATAAGTTGGTTAAGGGATACTGAGAAATACAACATTCACCTGACAATATGAGGAGAGGTGGGAAAGGCTTCAAGTGTTCCACTTGTACACAAACACTACTGCGAGAAATTAGATAAGTAAAGGTGAAGGATTTGTGAGGAATGCAACCATTATGCATGACTACAATTGTGCCATAAGCATAGTTCACCAATTGTCAGTTTAAAACTGGACAACAAGAATTTTTTTATAAACATTGGGCTCGAATGTGATGGTGGAGTCAGACCAGAGAGTGTTTGTGCCCATCCGAAATAATGCTGAAGCAATTGGTTATCTGCTAAACAAACGCTGATTACATGACAAGCCAGGGTAGTCGAACAAATGACCTGACACATAATCGCCACAAGACGAGCAAGGCCGGCGTTCCTAGTAAGCCAAATGTGGGAGCCAAAAATGGGGGACACTGTGTAGAAGGACACGCATTTGTGCGCACATATCAGGGTGGTCGCGAAATAGGCCACACAAAGAAAAGGAGGAACAGGAGGGACGTCGGTACGTGGCCAGTGGCTTTCTACTCACTATAATTGTTATTGGAGCGAAACGAGCAACAAAGACCCTCTAGGTGTGCAAATCAAAGTGTAAGGTAATATTCTATGGGCTAGTTTGATCGTCTGGAGTGAATTCAAAGCTGGTTATCTACATTCAGCCTCACTACTGAAGACCGTCGATTGAATTGTGGAAGGCGAATCCCAGAAATGCATAAACAGTGACTAATAACAATACGAGTCTAGCAAAAGACAATTTTTAGGAACAACAAGACAAGGAAATTGAAGGTAAGTAATTAGGACTATCAAATTTAATTTTCCCCACAAACTTACGGCGACAAACGCGTTGCGTGTTCACAATCAACTTCTTCGTGTCGGATATTCAAAACATCATACCACTTCAGAGCAAGTGTGCCAAAAAAGCGGTAAACATTGCTTCTACTTCCAGAGTAAATAAGCATTGAAGCGGGTCAAGACCACTTTCCGCATTTGCTTTTGGTTTACGTACATTAAAATTTAAAAAAAAATATATCATATTCTATACCCTCCCCAAGCGAATAAGCAACTTGGACTGTTGCCTGTAGACGACCCAGATCAGTCACGCAAATTGTCAAATCGTGCGAAAACGCATGCGATGAACATTGAGGACAAATTTTACGAGCCTATTTAACAGGTGATTATGTGTTAATTCCAAATAAATTCCGTATAGACTGCTAAGATAGATAATCCAGCAAGAGTAGCCAATAAACAGATGTAGGTGGAAGTGGTTCACAATATTAACATGCCACCTTTGAAATAGGCCTTTGTTTTACCAAAAATGTTCCAAGACAACTCTAGGGATGATGTACAAGAGCATTATCAACACAGAAGGAGCTCGACCGAAGGCCTGGATCAAATCGGCCTCTGACAAGCGGAGACCCCCGTTTCTTGGTTGTTTATTTATAGAAAGTAGAGTTCTACGGAATGCCTGTTAGCTTTAACAGCACGTATTCAGGTCAGAAAGTGTCATGCGTGATTTGATTTTTGTCACAGGTATTAGCTTACAAGCACAAAAAGGCAAACATAATCGCTATGAAAAGTGACTCAGATTCTTCAGCACCCTAAATTGAAAAACAGTGTAGGTTGAATTTTTCTACAAAAGCACAATTTCTGCGCCAATATCCAGAGTGGCTCCTTTGCAACCTAAATTAGGCGTATTTTAACTAGACCATGTATTAAAATTGCAGTGCCTCAGGGGAAAAATCAATCGACAAAATCATCGATTTTTGAAACGTGTTTACATTTTAAAAGTACTGCGCCTTCGTCTACGTTTAGCATTAATGTGGGATTGACACGGAAAGGGCCTGGGTGATTCATTCGCCTGAGGCAACCAGAACATCGAACTGCCAAAAACAAAAGTAACTCAAAACAGGGAGTAAGCGAGACCATCACGGCTAATTCTAAAACTGGTAGCAACAAGCACGTGGAGAGACAGAGGGCATAATGACATTTTCTGGCGTCCGAACGGCCAAAAGTGATTATCCCAGTAATGTTTATATACGCATTTAGACTAGCTTGGTCTTATGCCAGTGTTTGCAACGCCAGTATCAGGACATAAGTTCAGTACCGAAAGCTAAGAGACGCTATTTACAGTCACTCAATTTCACGAACGACTTGGCTTACTCTTCTCCCTCCCCTAAACACCATACTAGACTTTTTGGTTGAATCTAGAAGGAAATTTGGTGAAATGGTAAAACGCGAAAAATATCTATGCGCATTTGTGATTGGTTGATTCATTGATTAAATTCAGAGTTTAGCAGTAAGCTACTAGAAACTCGAAAAGTAGACTGGTAAAGAAGCATATTTGGAACTAAGTTCTTTGCAGCGATCTTTGCCACAATAAAGGAAAAGCTTTACAACTAATCCATAACCCATACGACTTTAATGTCGAGGAGGCAAACAAAAAACAGCAAGTAATACCTACCCACAAAGGGAAAATCCTTTCCTCTTTTTGACCTTTTTAATTCCATTAGATTCAGCAGGTCCAGTTAGGTCACTCCCGTTCAATGTATCATTTATTTTCTCTGGAACGGGCTGGGTGTCATTTGCGAAGGCCATGGCGCGGATGCAGGCAATTTGGTGGACGAGTTTACCGCTAGAATTGACGTTGTTGGTGAAGATGGTGATAGTGTGGTGGTACTTGGCGTCGGAAACAACAGGAGGTGGGACGGAATCAGCACGGCTTAACTTCCGACGTAAAGAGGCGCTTAAGTTCTCTGGATGCTTTGAATGGAGAACATCGGCTATGATCGGTGCCACTCGGAGCTACAAAGAGGAAAATTTTACTCTCAATTGTTTGCATGTGAAGACGATAAAAAAAATGACCAAATGAAAGGATGCACAAAGCAGATTTTGCAAATCAAACAAAACGAACTCGCAAAGGGAGCCACGTGCCTTGTACGCTTAAAGACGCAGTCAGCAAACTAGCCTCGCGTGATTTTAACGTATTCTCAAATGCGTGGTGTTTCACATGGCGCAGATGTACGCACACATGCACGCACACACGCGCGACGCAGACACTGTTAACCAATCAAAGGCACGTCGTTAGCTAAGCCATGACGCATGGACCTCAGTTAGTCCTGATTGGTCGAGTGCAAATAAGCCCGCGGTCAATATGGACGTATAGGGCTTTTTCTACTGCGTGCGTGTTGGGGACACGTTCGCCCATTAGCTAAGCGGGAAACTGTGGCCTCTCTTACAGCTCAACTAGGGGAAGCAAAACGGGGTTCGGGCATCGGGCACTAACCCTGTCATCGTCGGTGATTAACCATGGCATTCGGACCTCTGTTTCTGTGTGCTTCGGTGCACCAACTTCTTGCCTATTAAACGAAAAGAAACAAGTAAATTGAGAACTTAAATGTCAAATCTCATGAAAAAAACTAAACAATGAAAAGTAATTAATTACAGAGAAGTTATCTGGTAGTATGGAGCGATGCGCATTGGTGTCTCGCGGATCCTGCGAAATTATGGATCACTTTGGAAAAGTTATATTGTAAAATCGATGTGTAAAACTGATATGGACGGGAGGGGTGAGAGCATAATTAATACTCAATTAAATTTCAATACTGTAACCGTAAAAAAAGAATGATATACCATGGCCAAATGTGAATCGGTACATCACTGCCGCTATCCATACAGAGCGCCAATTCAGTATCACAAAGCCGCAAACGGTAGAATGTACCAGATTTGCCCTGAAAGAAAAGGGACATGACTTTAGACCGATTATCGCGATCAAGGACCTAAACAACATTTTAAAAAGTAATACGACCAGAACAGCTGTGCTGCCCTCACAAACACGAAAAAAGTGACTTCTGATTCAAAAATTAGTGCTAAAAAGAAAAAAAGCCACGAAGAACGGCGAAATATTGAGGTCTACGTAAATGAAGATGAGTGGCGCGTATGTGTAAAAGAGTTGCATAATATTATCAAAATCGCCACTGTAATTGAAGCTGACGTAATCTTTCATGCCATCAAATGCTTCCGACAGCTGATGTGAGATGAATATGTGCTGATTAATGGTGTCAATGCATCTAGCCTCGAGTTAGTCGATTATTTAGCGAAATAATACTGCTTAACGCTAATCGGCAAAGCTAAAAATTGCGAGACAGTTAAATCGAGAAAAGGAGGTGACTTTGAATGGACTGACAGGGGACTTCGTGTCATGAAGAGATAATGTAGGGACAATATTCGTCATTGTTGCAAACACGTAAAATATGATTAAGGTAATTTGTACTTTTTCCAAATAAACCAAACGGCGCGTAGAATGCCTAATGAAAAGAAAACGCCCAGAATAGCAAATCAGAGAGTAGTGAATGTCGCCGATTTGGGTTAAAACGTGATCAGCACACAGCCTGACGACCTGTGTGCAATAAGACCTAATTGGAGCAATTGTTGGAAATAACGTGGGCGGGAACGTGCAATTTGCAATTAAGCCAGAACGGCTCAGACAGCAAATGAACGCTTTAAAGGCACCAACGTTGATTCGATTGATATAAAGTTAATTGTGGGAGACGAAATTGCAAGAGAGAAACGCAAGATAAATGCCCACAGGCGACGGGGTTAGGCCTGTTTCCAAGTCATAGCGAATACCACTCAAGGGTTTGTCAATACCACCACAATATCTAACTCGGTGATACATCCAGTGTGATTTCAACAAGACTGTGAGATGGAAGCACGTCGTTTAGCTATTTTTTAGAGCAGAAGTGCCAGCAAACATAGTTTACCCAAAAACTCTGCACAACACGATAACCAGCGAGAGTTTGGACAACAATTCGTTGCCTTTTGCTTAGCGGTAAGGGATAAAAAAGGAGTTTCTGGACAGAGCACGCCTGGACTTTATTGAAAAACTGCCGTGTTTTTATAGTGCAAAAATTGTCGCCTCCTGCATTCACCTCAAATCACAAAGGATCAGGTGCATTTTGGCGTAGAATAACTAAACCAAATGCAAATCGCAGACAAGACAGCCCTTCACATACATAATTAGAAAAATTACAGAATCGTCTGAATTGGGCATCAGTGAGAATGCCATTTCAGCAAGTTAGGAAGACCAACACAATCCCAACAGGCACAACTGAATTACACGCATGGAGGACTTGACAGTGGAAATCAAAGAAGGCCTCGTGGTTACCCGTCAACAGTCTTCCCTTGTAAAGCATCATGTATCGGAAATTTAATGCTGGTTTGTATGGACTCTGCACGTGGTTACTAATCCACCCAAGCAGAAACACCAACATTCACCGCACGTTTAGGCGTATTCTCTTCATTGCACTCCTGAGTGTGAGTGGAGTTATGAAATATGCATTTCAGCACCAACACTTGCGCATTGGATGACAAATTGACGCTCATTAAAATTGCATTAGGTAACGAGGCAATCTTAAATAATGCAATAATTGAGAGGTACACAGACATAAATTCAGAAGAGGTGAAGCGAATAAACTTGAGAATTGACTCGGATGTGAGTTATGTCGGCCTAGAACGCCGTGGCTACTTTGAAACGAGGTTCAGATTACCCCCGAGGGAGGGACCTTTGCACGAGTTTCTGTTGATTTGAAGATGATGGCCCAGAAAATGTGCTCAGTAGCGAACCAGAGTGCAAACGGAAGCACAGCGGGGTAGGCTTGGCAACAGCTCCGGTGGTTCCGCAGGCCCAGTCTCGCATGGCTGTCCAAACACGCTTATCTTCGTCGTCTGCACGTGTCAACCTCGCGCTGTTGGGTGGATTTATTTATGTGCTCTGACTATTTGCCAACATGAAAAATCAAACCAAGTGCCACGACAACAAAAAACAATAGAACAAGGTCAGGACAACTGATGTTGCATCAACTGGTTTCGGTTTGCTTAGCAACTCTATCTGAAGTAAACGACAAATGCAAGTGAAGAAATCAGCACGAATTTCGAAAAAAACTGAATCTTGCCATCTTAGAAGTGGCGGGTGCCCGAGTTGCGCAAAAGAACGGTTACCAGGCGACGGGCATGCACAAACACGAGAATGGGCAGGCATCACGGCTGTTCTACAGGGCGAATTGATTCGAATGCAAATGAGCCAGCCCAGTCACTCGTTAGGATCCGGCCTTCGTTTCACGCCTGTGCTTGTAACTTATTTAATAAAGCTAAAACAAGGCGAGTAAACAGACTTCCAAAAGTAATCACAACATACCAGTGCTACTAATTTTTGTTTAAATTCAGAGACCATTTACAGAAGAAGCGGGTTACGGCTACATGCAAAGTGGGTAAATCCATTTTTTTATAGTCACCGTAATTTCGACGTAAGTGTACAAGTTTTGATCAAGTGCGTGGTGCTTCTAAACTGCCAATTCACAACACTCAACGCAACCCTCAGTAGGTGTTGATATCACTTGAAGGGCCACACCACCTTGAGACAGAGGACAAGACCGATTAGCACTTTGTGGGAATAATGGAGGTTCGGCTCTGGAACGGTGGTGATTCGTCGATATCAACAAAGAGTAAAGTTGACCTCTGACATTCGAACGTCTGCACACACGGTGGCAAAACCAAAGGGAAGCTACAGTGACTTAGCAGCAGACCAAAACCACGTGGCACAAAATTTCGATAATTCCATGAGCTTCCCTTGGCGGCTTCCAGATCAAAGGTTGTCAATATCAGCGGTATTACGGGCTGGTGGAGTAGGGATATGCCAAGGCAAATATGAGCTATTCAATAGCCAGAATCACTATGAATGAAGAGGTGCACTCAAATTACGAACCAACATAAATCACACCAAGGCCTCGATACCGTGGTTTTCTCTCCATTTCTATAACCTTAATTTCGCTAGTTAAATAAGAAAGTAAGTTGAATCACGGTTTAACATTTGGTGTTTTACTGCATAGACAGGATTTTCGGAAATTAGGCGTACCAGAAGGTAAAACGCCATAACAAATAAACACGGACTTTGTTCACAGTTAGCTGAAAATCCAGTAGGAAATAAAGTCATGCAGAGATAAGAGTAGGATAAACGGAAACCTTGGCACCAACCCAACAGATGATAAATTTGGTGGTCACCTAATGCCACAGATGGCAGATTAGCCGTGGGAACCATGAGACATCACGAAAATACAATTTAATAAATGAATAACTTAATGCACAAGAACGAATTCGAGAAAAGGGGAGCACACAGAAGGCAAGATTGTGGATGGATTTGAGGGCAGCTTACGAACTTGATTCAGTAAGAATGGGACGGAATTAGTCAAGTGGAGGCGAATACGCGTAACACGATTCTTCCCAAAACGTTGAAAAGACACCGAGTTCTAACTATCCATACGTAAATGAACAATTTGATAAAGACATGCTGGGCATGATGCGGAGGCATATGGACGGTTGAACGGAGTTATTCATCCAAACAGATCTGGGACTCCAGTATACTGGGGCATCGGTCTATTCCATAAACCAGCCACCTAAACATGACGCAGAAATGGCGGAGCATGGAACTAACAGATCTGAATTGCCCTGCTGCTTTGACACAGGTTAAGGGGCGGGAGCCTGTTTCCTGCTGAGGCTCCCGTTAGGTGGAATCTATGACCCCCTCGCGGCTGCCATATCCGTGAGCGGCTACCGACCGGAGATGTGCTGGTCAGATTTGGGTCCTGGTAGAGGGTTTCCTCGACCTCTGCCAAGGGACGGTCGATAAGGTACCCATATCGTCTGCAGTGAGGCTCATTATAACGCACTTCAGTCTCCTGCTGTATTGCTCCGATATGCTCTGGATGCCATAGTGTACAACTCGCACGACATCTCAGGCTTTCAGCCTACTTTACGTGTCCTTAATAGGGTTTATCTTGACAAGAACCTCATGGCACATGCTGAGTGGCGGTCAGGATCGACCGCATTCAGGACATCTTGAGTGTTCGCAAGCCACACATCGACATCAACATCCAGCTCATAAACTGGGGGAACAGGACAGGGAAAGGCAATCTCTTCCATCGTTGCCGACATTTAAAAAAATCATCTAGGTCCAGCCAAGGACCGTTGCTCCAAGACAGGAAAACTGACATATTACAAAAAAATAAAGTAAAGCGACAAACGGGAAAACTGGTCGCACAATCAATTGTTAACGTGAAGCGCGTCACTTTGATACAAAAACGTTACTTATTCAACATAAGTAAAAAGCGCATACACTAACCCAAAAGTGATTAACAGAACGACCAGTCCGTTAAGCAGTGTTAGCATCCTCTAAACATTGCATTCAAGAATTCACTGTAAGAAACTGCTTTGGTGAAGAAAAGAAAAATCAGTTGATAGCCTGGAGAACCACCAAAGGGATTTTGGCTATCCAAATAATAATATAAAAGTGCGAGCGTGCAGACAGGAATTGGTCTTCCACAGTGGTAAAGAAAGCACGTCCACGTCAATGTAACAGACAAAGAGTGATAATGTCAGCAGATTTCAACCATGTGGGCACTCTGTCTCCTGGGTTAGTAACAGTTCAAGGCCCCTAAGGCATCTTAGAGATGAGATACGTGAAGACAACAGACACGGAGGCGTGACATCCACGATGAGGGTGAGCAGTGCAAATTTGTCTTCAAAAACTCTGAGTAACTATACGGGCAACTGATTCCGGTGCACGGCGAATTAAAGAATAGTCGGATTTGAGCAATACACGTGTTGAATGTCCACGAGTTAATGGAAGCAGAAGTTGTCTATATGCACTAGAACATGTAGACCGAGGTTCTCTTTAGACAGAATGATATAATGAGGAAAGACCAGGTCAAACACGGAAAGTCAGATACTTTTGAGACTGTGACGCAACGAGAGGGCGTTACAAATTTCCCAACGGGAGCACGAAAGTTTGCTTCAAGTGGACGACAATGAAGCAAAGTTTATTGAAACTTTAGAATACAACAAATTTCCGCTACCAATCCGACAACTTTAACGATCCTGACGTAGGTACCAGTGAAATAGAGAAGAAAACTGCTAAGCCCCACTCGAATGCACGTCAAGCATTGGCAGGATTTGTTAACTGAGCACGCGTAACGGCCGGTCTGTAACACGTGTAGCGATTGAAATCTAGGAGAACATTTCGCCTTGGTCGTAACTCGATCAAATGTGCGGCGTCTGCTTGTACGTACTACAAATAGGCACGAACGCGGTGCGTGGCCAAGCACACTGAGTCCTTTTTCACGTTCCTGACGTTTAAACTAATGGTCTGACGCATCGTCTTAATCCCTTTTTAGGGTAGGCTGGTAGGATTCCAAACAGTTAAAACGGGGGTAAGCGACTGACGAACAGTGTTATGGCAACAAAATTCGATGCGAAAAGGAAAAAAAGCTTACAAGAGAACAGGCGCACCCAGTAAGGCCGTGTAAACAAGGGTGTTGAACAAGAAATTATGTAAAATGGCTTAACGGTGGTAAACTAAAAAGCCCCTAATAAGAGCAGAAAAAACGGAACACTTAAAGGGTTGGGTTGACAAAAACGCCAAAGATATGGCGGCACTGCCACACACCCAATTTGACCCGAGTTGCACTCACGAACGAGCTCTCACGTGGTGTGAAAGCACATGGACTTTATACTGAAGAGCGAAAGATATCTAAAAGTGTAAACACAATCGGGGGGTAGCAAAAGAATATAACTGGAGGTGGAACTAAATTGTAGAACTAAAGCATAGGCAGCAGCACTGTCACTAAAGTCACTGTTGTAACAAATACTGAAGTGGCACAGAAAACTGGTAGGAGCTGGTGCCGATCACATACAAACAGAAGTCAAAAACCAAGTATGAATGGCTAAGGACGCATTTATTTATTTCGTAAAAGGCGTCATGAAACTAGCTGGATCTCGAATAATTTGATTTAGCAATGATGGTCATTCGATTTTCGTGAAACGCTACCAGACTCCCACTTGGAGGAGAGGCGCGGGTTTAGCAGAAAAAAGGGAAATGAGTGATATTAGACGAGACACATTGGAATTTCACTGAATTAGGCGATTTGAGGCTTGTCTGAGAAAACAACAAACGGCCAAGTCAGTATATTACAATAATTAAACGGTAAGCGATAAGGATGGAGTTACAAGCATTTTTTCAGACGTGACAACGCAATATGGATCCTAAATTGTTGAGTGTCATCTAACTAGAACAGAGGGTGGCGACGCATAAATTTAACGCTAAACACGACCAGTCAATCCCTGTCCCGAGTGAGACAGATTAAATCAGCTGTCGGGTGATTTATTTGGATGCTGCACACGGGAGTGAGCCTGCCGACCCCCCGAGCCTGACGGCTGCCGACAGCTGGAGGGCATTCTGGCCAACGAAAGAGGTCGGGGCGCTAAATGGGCTTTGTAGGCTGCTTCCTGGAAGAGGGGAGTAAGGCACTTCCCCTCGAGTCCACATTATAGCTGACCTATTCGCTTCCGCAAACAACGACCCGTGGAACACCTCAATCCCATTTGGGGATATTTTACAGATGAAGATCGTGACATTTATGATTGTAAGCACAATTAAGTCGCAAGACAAGACACCCTATTCCCATTTGTGCATTTTCGCTTTCATCGCGAGCACAGTTCAGGAATTACGCCACATGCATTGAGACCCCGGGAAGAAGTGAGATTGCCAGCCACAAAGATCGGAGCCTACCTTCAACGCACTGACCCGAGGAAACTCGGGACACGTTTAAACCTCGCACATCTACGTGACCAAGCGATGAGTCATCACTAAAGTCTGGCCATCAAGGACTACACACTTAATTGGACGTCTCTGTTCCTGATCAAGTCGGGTAGAATCTGAAACCATGAAAACATTTCGGCTAGGGTTTACGACACATGGACCTGGCCAGCGATATGATAACATCAGTGAAAAATTTAGCGGATAAGATTGTTTGACTCACGTTACTGCGAATACGAATCGAATTTGAAACGGGTTGGTTTTGTAGACATTCCGGCGTTTCAAGGTGATAAGCAACTATTTTTGCAGACCCGAGTTTTAACTGTTTGAAAGCATCCTAAGCATGAAGCGCTCAAATGGGGAAGTTTAGTTGTCAAACTGGTTTCGTCACAAAAACACATTAGAAATAGCCTACAGACTAACGTGGGGCGAAATTTTCGGCTGAGTTCTCGAAAACTAACATGCAACTGAGATAGCAGTGAAAGAGTCAAAGAGGTGTTTGGTGTCATTTGGTAGACAAATTTGGCAAATTTGGTAGACTTAAACTAGCATCAAAACAGAAATGGTAGCTATTACAGATAAGGAGATCTGACAGATCATTTGACTTTGACAAGCGAAATTTTGGGGAGCGTTGAATTATCGCGCAATTAATTGTCGTCAGCATCACGCTTGTTGTAAAACATAGTGCCAGACCAGTGCACAACGGTAGTATTTTCTTCGTTGCTACAGAAAATCTGCTTTTGACTTTTCGGCGCGTCGAACTTGGCAATGTAGCGGTAAACACGGTTACCGAACAATCCGGATTAAAGTAAGGTCGGATTTAAAAGAGTTTGCCAGAGAATAGAGACAAATGACAAAATTAGAATCCGACATATACTGAAACGTCCTGATATGACACGCCTCATATTCCCATCAGAAGACTGAGCGAATGAGCCATCTACCCGTGGGGGTTACAGGTGAAAGCACACAAAAATTGAGAAATAAAGAGGACCTCAGAGAACACTGAGTACGTAATGGTGTGGAATGTTTAAAAAATATGGTGAGGACTTGAGTGAAAAGATTCAGTAATTACATTAACTTGAGGTAATTTCTAGAAGGTAGCAATAAAATGTTAGCAACTATTTATTCTTCTTTCAAAACCATTATAGGGTTAGTAACAGATTGAAGTGGTAAGCTCGTTGGGTAAAGATTACTGCCAGGATGTAGACAAGCATTCACGATAAGGCGAGTGCAACCCAAGAGTAAAAAGTGGCTTGCGATGGAATTTGTCCGCTAATTAAAATCAGGACAACACTTGTAGCTTCTATAAAGAAGAAATCCTAGTTGGACTACGGAAATCCTAGTAACTAATATAACTTGTTGATTTATGCGTTTTAAGCACAACTTAATCTTCCACGTAACACCGCGTAAATGTTTTGCACATCACAAAATGTGTATGTCATACTGGCTTGTTCCGCAAACCTCAATAATTTAATGTATTTAGTCTATTAAACGTGCGTACAATTAGTATTGAAGCCTATGTGAGCGTGGATTTTGGTTCAGTGTTACCATTCTCTTGACTGACGAAATGAAAAAATTTTTTTAATGGAAAACTTACGAGGTTGGATATCAGCGAAAATGTAATTGGTGAAACTAAAGCTCACACCTTCGTAGTAATTTGAATGAAACAAACCATAATGATACAGCGCGGTTGTCAAATTTTTTATCAACACAAACTATCCTCACATCGGTTTTTAACTACGCCTAATGGAATTGTCTTCCCCCACTCACAACAAAAGCTATCAATGCGTCTCTTCACCAATTACCATTCGAACATCAAATCCGCGTTTTGTAAAAATTCAATAATTGTTAGTTTTGATCCAAATTCTTTGCGGGAAGCTGAGAACACGAACAGAAATTGTTGTAGCTTAAAATACGTTCATCCTCCAAGCATCGGAACTTAAATCCAGAAATTTTAATCAGCAATAAACCTATAATCTGTAATCACAATGCAGTGCGTCCGTTCTACCACATCTTTTCCATATTTGCACACCGCCATGATTTTACTTAAGCATGGATCGACGTGTTTGTGAGGCATTTTAAAAGTTTGGTTTTACAGACATTCATTTTGTCCAGTTTTTCGGTGATTTCATTTGCGCACTTTCTTCGGGATTGGTCTTTGGACGTTTTCCACGCGCTAACGCTTTTGAGTGTAAACCGAAGGAAGGATTTAAGTGATTTGACTTCGCTGCTGTTTTACACCAGGGGCGTTGATAACCTCCTTATCAGACAGCGTTGAGATGACTAGGTTGACAGGCGTGAACTGACGGGAATCAACTCGGGACAAAACTACCACCCAACTTGTCAGGACATCCGCGTGCAGCAGTAAGCACTGTCTAAAGAAATGAGTCATAATAAAAAAAGTCACCAACGCTCAGGCAAGGTGAATGCCGTCGAATGAGTCATCATGACTACCACGATTTTGGACAGAAAACGCGACAGCATTTAGCCTAAGCTACAGAACTGCGAGTGGCCGGGTTAGATTGCAATCAAAAACCATCGTTAGTATATTGAATATCATGGAAAGTAAGCTAGAAGCTGGTGCACGCCATTGGCGAGTTACATCAAATGACACGAAAGGATGTAAACGGACAAACGCATGCAAAAGCGATAGCCCATAAACCAATATTGGACCGAGACATGGTCGCACACACAGGCACAGTATGACGTATCCGTGTGACGTATACAGCACAGTCACTTGATGGGCACAGGGCGTGCAAGGTATTCGCAACAATCAAAAATGCATAATGGAACAAAGTAAATTGTGACAAATTGTTCACCAAAAAGAACTACGCCCAAATTGAAACGAAAGTCATTCTATTTTGTCAGGTTTATTTGGAGCAATTTAATTTCAGCAACCAGCCAAACTAAATTGATTGAATCATCAAAAAACAGAATGTTAGTTATGGGCGAAAAAAACCACGAAAAACTTTTGTAACGGTAGATCGGGGAATTAAGCAAACAAACTGGGACTAACCACAAGAAAAGGCAACCTTAACAATTTGCTGTATTGTTTGTTGACTGAATATATTAATGGAATTTGAAGTGGAAAATGAAGATTCGATCAACTGAAATCTAATCTGCAGCCAGACAACTCACCACCAACAGTCCCACATACCTTTACGCGGACCCAGAGATGGCGCATTTGGGGCTCAGCTATGAGGGCTTCAAGAAACTGAGTGACGGAAATGTTCGACGCCAAAATCGTGTCTCTAAATCAAGCAAAAAGTGAATGAAGAATTTTTGTAGGGTAAACAAAGCGTTGACTAGGACTCTAAACGAGCTATTTGCATCTTTTAGCCTTGGTGATGATTAGTGATAAGCCGAAAGTCACTCATAATAATAAACAACAAGAGAATTAAAATAGGAAAGCTAAATTTCCACATAGTTTAACTACATGTTCACAAACCTCTGCAGATACCATTTTTTTAGTTTCATCCTATTAAACTCAAACTTTTAGGGACACCGCATGATAGTTTAAGCTTAATTTGCTAATAAAGAAAGTTAGGTAAAGAAAGGATTGATTTGATTAAAAATCAATAAAAATGAAACAGAAACATACAAATTCATAAAACCGAACACTCAAATTACAAAATGTGAAATTGTTAGGCATTGGGAAATGGGAAGAATCGCATAAAATATCTCGACCCTTTAATGATCCAATGAACATAAATTTCCTCCCCAACGCAAAAAAACAAACAATCAATAACGCGAAAAAGCTTTGTGCACGAAGTGTTGTCATGTTTGTGATTTCAACCGGTATGTTACTTAGGTCGTCCAGGTAGTGGGAGGAATTGGAAAATTACAACTGTACAAAATTAAAGTTTAAAAAGAAGGATCTTCGCAACGACGATAGGCTCTGGTTTTACATATGTTATTTTCCAATAGATTCAAAGTATATTGATAAAACGGACTATGTAGTCAGTACATAGTTAATCTACAGCACAAGTACACTGCCTATGGATTCTTCTACTTTTAAGGATAGTCAAATCAGCCTGTATCTAATGTATACTTTTTATCACATTAAATACAGACTTGTGGTTTATAATTACCAAAGTATAATGACCTGTCTAGTTGCTTAATACGATGAGTTGCATACATTTAGACTTTGCCATACTAGGCCTGATAGTGACATCTGCTTCGAAAGAACACGACAGCTTTTCAGATCAAGTGTGTACAAAAGATAGCAAAGTATTTCTTTATTTAACAACGTCAATGTTAGCAAGTTCAAATACACAACTAGAAATTGTAAAACAAATAAAAGGGGAAAATAATCAAAATTTTACTTGACTTAGACTATAAAATCTGCAGGAGGGAATAACAACACAGAGAAGAATTAACTAGAAGTTAGGTTTAAATTAGACACAAAAGGATATAGTCGATTGGATGCAAACAACAGCCACCTTCAATCCAGAGTTCATCATTAACAAATTTACAATCCTTTGGGCCAAAAATCCAATTTTTTGAAGGTGTTAAAATTAATGTCTGATTAATGATACTTGTACTAAGTCAGCCTCAGTCCTTGCACTTAAAATCTTGATTACAGTCAAAGGGAACGAAATTGCAAACCAAAGTCTACAGAAAAAACGCTTTAAGAAATGTAATTTATGGGAGTAGTTTATAGTATAGATGCGTGAAATCAAACTTTTAGTACACAGAAACCAAGAATAATAATTTGTGTTACTGGTCACGAAGGCATTTGAATGAAACGAGAAATAACTCACACTTCTCGTTGGGTTTCAAAGTCAAGAGACGAAGAGCGCTCATCTGTAAAAAAAGGCAAGTTAAAAACTTGTTTGAGATTTCCCAGATAATAAAGATGACTAAAATTGAACACACTTGCTTTCATAAAATTGCTCATAAGCTTGATTTCTTTTCCATAGTTTTTATTCGCAAATGTGAGTCTCTTCTCTAAGTAACATTTGCAGGCCGTGAACAAAAGAAGGCGCCTAAAATTGCTTATTATTTGTAATCATACATTGTTCGTGGCGACTTAAAACCAATAGTCGAAGAAGGTAAAGTAGGAACAACCAACTCCAACACCCGACTACTTTTTCCCTAACAAGAACGTCAGAGTGCATCAACTTTACATACAGGCTCAAGCATAAAGCAAAATCGGTCGTCACAAATGTTTGCTGTTAAAAACGCTGCATTTAGATACTGTAGGTAACGATTCGTGTCCTAGGAAAATGGGGATAATGATCAGTCACAAACACTGTAAAGGGGATAAACAATCGGTCCTTTAAAAGGCACTTCGCAGAACATGCGATCCGGTAACATCAGTTTAAATGATGATGGCGTAGGAATAGTACTAGTAAACGGCATCTTAAAATAATCGCTTGTTGCAGGGATAGTAAAAAAATCCGCAAAAGTCGAACAACGCGCGATTACAAGTGTTTTCTGTCGCAATTCCTAATGCGCGCTTTCTCTTTTAGGTCATTAGTTTATCTAAACATTGTCTATATTTTCCTTTGAAATTTATATTTAGCTGTTTTAATTTAAATAAGATACTACAAAATAATACATCCACACGGGAAATAAAGCAGCGCTCTTTTTGAAAAATGTGAAAACACATTAGCATGCTTGGTGTTTTTACGATTACTTTCATTATTCCGACGTATATTAGTATGCAAAATATGTAGAATGCCTTCTTTGGTAAAATATTATCAAGAATGAAGGTTACGGTTGCATTCGGTGACATGAAGATTGTTGTCCCTTGCGGTTCGGGTGATTTTTCGGTTAAAGAATTAGCTGCTAAGGCTGTTTTTCGGATGAAACATTCTCTGAAGTTCGTACGTCTCTTTTGTTTGTTCTTATTTAGTAGTATTGTAGGTAATCCAATTTGTCTGTCATATACGTCGTTGTGTGCTTTTTATGAAAATATTATTTTGACATAGAATGTACCATGTTTTATTTGTTCAAAATATGGGATTATATCCTTTGTTAAACCATAATTTTGGGTCACGTTTTAGTTATACTGTTTTTAAAATCAAAAATTTCAGTTGATTTTGTGTGGAATCCTTTGTAGGTTTTTCAAAATAAGCACATCCGTTTGCATTTTCATTGAAATGACTTCGTAAATATCCTTCGTTTATGTTAAAAGCGCTTAGTCTGCCTGAATGCGCACTGATATCAGCTGTTGATGTCTTAGTAGCCAAAGCAATTACTGAAAAGTTTATCGATAATAGTTGTAAATTTGGTCGACCCTTGAAAACTTAGGGTAACGACCATTTACTTATTCTATACAACCATGGGTTATTCAATAATTAGCGTACATTGTAGGAATGTGGTCTCAATGATGTTCTTTTTTTTTTCAAAAAAAAGTTTCTTCTCCTTTTTTGCAATTCGCAAACAAAGTATTCTTTTTAATTGTTATGGCAATCAATTGCGTCTTACCTGCTCAACGAACTGTCTAACACTTGATTTGTGAGCAATGACGAATTCCGAAAATCCTGCTACGGTTGCAATAAGTGCCATTTTGCACGACCCTCAAATTTTAATGTTAGTTTACTAAATTACTTATAACCAACATTTCACTAGATCTGCGTCACTTATGTAAACACAATGTCTAACGTCGTCACCCTTAAACTTCCAAATTTTCTTGACTGGCTTTCATTTCTACATCAATGTGGTGTTCAACTGCCACTATGTTATTGTTGCAACTTATGATACCTATCGAAATTCCTACTAAAAAGAGGTGGCATAGATTATTTTTTTTGTTTTTGAATTACCTCACAATACTTCATCTGATCCAATTGGGCTCTGCACTATTGCATCCCAAGAAAAAAATCATGCTCCAGAGCCTTGCAGCAATTACCGTTTTCGCGACATTTTTGGATATTTTCGAACATTGCAGTTTAACTAAAACCTCACCTCTCCTTAATAGTCTCCGGACCTTGATCGAGTACTGGTCCACAGTCTGTCAATCTCTCGCGATGGTGGAATTCTGGATTGGGATGACCTCGTCTCTGATGTATTGGATGATCGTGAACAGGTTAGCTACATTTTGGTCTCTTAACTAAATTACCTTGCAAAACTATCAATCTATTTGACATTTTTTTAAAAAAGCATTGTTAAATGTATTTCAAGAATTGCATTGTGCCTGGAACAAACGCCTTACTGGTTAATATATTACTGTTATTGTGAATAAGGTTTTGGATATGTTATGCCTCGGCATATGTCACCACTGATAAAGTATCAATGACGCTTCCCATTGCAAAATTGTTTGACTCTTTATGATAGTGACTAACTTTGCCAAAATATACATGCATAACCGCTTACAAATTTATTTGATTACGTTTTACATTGGTGACCGAAAATCTCCGTGACCCGTAACCCTCGTAATTATAAATCTAAAAACTACATTTCCATCTGTAAAATTCTACAGTACTAGTAATCATCATTACAATGGCCAAACTCTTCATCTGGTTGGGGGAGTTAGTACACGTCACAAACAACCCAGTTCAAGTTTTACTTCAACTACAAGCTTGGTGTCGAGTTGGCAGTTTTGTTGCACGTGCCGCTGAGCACGCGTAAGCGCATGCCCAGGTGATTTCATCACATAAATCAATGGGGCGAAGCGATTGGTTCAGGCATCCTTCAGCTTGCTTGCACGTACGCACAGGAGCGCTTGTGTCCGTTGCTGCATTTCGGGCTTTATCCCAAATGGCCATGGCTAGGCTCTCAACACTCAAGTTTTAAAGTATTATCAGTTTCCTAGAACATGGGTTCGTTTTTTCATGGGCAAAGACGAGACCTCACACAAGTGCGATAGACGGAAAGGGGAAGCAATTTTTTCATAATCGATTCCATTTCTAAATATAATTCGTGTTTAAATAACAAGATGTGTTTTTGTGTTCACGCATTTAGCCAGTGCGAAATTTCTGTTGCCTTAACTTTGGGTTGCCGTACGTAGTCGTGTTGTGGACAAGAAGTGAGGGAAATCATCAAAGTTACCAATGCTTATTTGAGGTGATTGAGCACCAATCTCTCCACCGTCTTCTAATTCGGGTGTAGCTTTACAGTCTCCAGCAGTTGCGTCTTTTAATAATACTTTTTATGTAAAGATGTACGCTACGTTAGGTTAAGACATACAGGAGTACGTTGAATCCTTTCGAATCATAATAGTAGCCCCGAAATCAACTTTAAAAATTACTATTTTGGCCACGGACATTTTAGCACGTAAAAAACTATAACCTGTCTTGATAATAAGCCGTAATTACTTTATGGCTGTATGTTTCTGCTGACAAAAGTCCAATTCTTGACTGCGTTCTCAAAATAGGGTTCATTTTTCTGCAAAATCCGGATTTTAATGAATGCCTTTGGTGTAAGGAACTCACTGCTATGAAAATTGGGGTTAATATTTAGCTTGTAGCCCAATATTCAATTGAAGCGAGCTTGCCGGAACCAACATTTTCTCCTCCATCGTTTAAACGGGCTCCTCCACTTGCTCCGCTCGTTTTCGACGTCTCCCGCCTCAACCACCCAATCAGCGACCACGACCCTGGCAGCGGCGGCGTTCTGTTGGGCCACACTCAAGTGGGACATGGCAATGCGGCCGGCAGTTCGAGCAGCAGCCTCAGTCTCAGCTCAGGTAGCCTGGGCGGGGGTGGAGTGGGGGCCGGCGGGCTCCATCGACACCGGTTACCGCACCAGTTGCATGAGCACCACCCCACCTCCTCTCGACATCCGGCACCATCGGAATTTTCAGAACACCACTACCATCAAAATCAACATTCACTTTCCCACCAAAGACCTCTCAGTGAAATAGATATCCCACCAGCTGGTAAGAAGAATGACCAGTTTCCTCACAATTTGCTCAATTTTCTTCGTTCATGTCTTGTAAAAACTCCAGTTATTGATTAATGTATATGCTGATGGATTCAGCTGTATCTAGCCAGCTATCGATGGTTGCCTTATCTTGCGGCATACTCTGGTCAGCAGCGATTTTATAATGTCTCTTAGCACATGCAAATCAACCGAATCTACCTCAGATTCATGAGGCATGGGATGGCGAATCGGGCGACTGTGCACTGTGTAAATGAAATTTATGTATGCCAAGTCAGGCATTATTTTCACGCGCAAACTTTCGGTCCAACGAGGAGGGTTCTTGCAATGCATTTCACCCACTGGCCGTGCTGACACCTTAGTATGTGCCCAAATATCACAAGTAGTGCACATTCGGTTTTCGTAGAGGTAGGTTGGAAGTGAGCTTTTTAATGATCCACGGACAACTTAAAACTGGACCGACTACCTAGTGGTGAGTCAAAAATTAGCGCTTTTATTAGTTATAGCGAGAAACTCAGGTAGTATGGGAAAATGTGGGCAAAGGCCCAATTTCTACGTGTGTTCGCGGTCGGACGCTATCTGACTGGGTACTTCACCAATGGGCCAACTTTCAGATTTTGCCTCGTGTAGGTGTTTACACAACGGTAGCACAAACAGGCCAGTCCAGACTTGAGGATCCATTTCCAGCTCCTGAACACCTGGCTAAGGTCAACTCTAGCAATTTAATTCTGTTTTAGGTATAAAAGTATGTAACTGTGGAATTCATGCAGTTCTGTTGAAGTGTGGTGGATCCAATTGCTTGGGAGAGTAAGTTTCGAAGTAGGTTGCCGCCGTAACCTTAGGCGTCTCACCAAAACGAGAACCTGTGCTGGTAGTCATGACTGCAACGCATAGCAGCAAGACGATTAGTGTACTTCACCACTACCTTCCGAAAATGGTATCTTTTTGCTTAAATGCAATTGATGCCAATTCGCATCTAAGTCTGTTTTTGAACAGAATTTCATGTGAAACCCGGTTTCAATTTCTCAAGGTAAACCACATGTGCGCCGTATGGACATCAAGCTCGCACGCTCCTGTAGCACTGCTTTAGGTACCACTCTGCAGAAATTGAAACAAAAGGTTCCGCCAGCTAAAGTTTACGTGGCGTAATGAAAGAAATGTTCGGTCAGCAATTCAAAACTCAATGCATTGCACGCAAGAGACATTGCTTGTACCATAAGTAAAATCCCGTAGCACCAAGTTCAGCTTACTAAACTAACAAACTGCAGCCTTGTGCTCATATGTTTCTTCTACACCTTTCCTGAATTGAAAGTTGAAACTAATTTTATTTTTATTGTCCTTTTTTGAAACACCCTTATCTGCATTCCTGAGGGAATTCGCGGCCGTGTGCATCAAATTTGGTAGGTGCCTAACTCCTCAGGCGTAATTGTACCACCCAACCCACCGCACGAAGCCCAGCTGGCCCTGCTTCGCGTTTTTCTCATCATCGCCGTTTTTCGCAGTAAAATCGTAATCCGCGTACACAGCAAAGGTCCTGCCGGTGGATTTTATTCCACGCATCCCATAATTTGGTTGTCGAGGCGAGTGCTGCTGACCACCACGAAGCGATTTAACAGGCTATATAGAGATAGTTATTCTAATTAATCGATGTCGTATGATCTTAGTAAACCACTCACACCAACTTTTCGCATCCTTTCTTATCGATGGAAGACTTGCTTGTAGATTTAAAGAGGCCGGGTAAATTTGCACCGTATTCTCGCTTTAATACCCAGTCAACATCCCATATCCTCCTTCTCACATTTCGCGTGGTGATTTTGCACTGAAATGTGGACAAAGTGGGAGTGGTTGAAAGTCCGATTTGGTGTAGCGTTGTGTGCAACCTCTTAGACAGTGCCTGTTCGAAATAAAGTTAACACAACTAACGGCTTGTCGAATTTCCTAAATAATTCTGGCTGTCGAATTCTTAATTTAAAGTGGCCTTATGTACTGATGACAGGCAGAGTACCAAGTTAGAGATCCGCGTTGCTGGTCGTAAGACCAGCCTAGCTTACTCATGACTCACGTGACTTGGAGTACGCTATGCATCACCCCAAATTCTAACTACAAGGCACTGGGTCCCGCTTGTCGATCCTCCCCTACTCCGCGTCAGGAGGATTACGGCCAATAGTAGAGCCAGAAACTTGAAGTTCTTTCGTTATTCCTGGCAAATGCAAATTAGCGGCTGATTGTGATTGAAGTGGCCTGTGGCCACGGCCATAGCTTTTTGCTTAAACTCTCATTTGTCGTCTGTCCTGAGGGATAGTTCAGTAGTTTGAGCACTCCAATGGCCCACTTTTAAGCACTACGACTTATTAATGATACCCCTCCACAACATCGTGTATATCTTGTGAGAAATTTAGGCCGGGAAGTCGCTAGTTTTATTCTCAAACTTAAAAATAGATACCATTGATGATGTTATGCAATCCCTTTTACATTGTAAAGATTAGCCCTGGAGGCAAGTAATTCCTCGGCATTTCCTTGAATGTCAAGTTGCAAATATTTACGTAATTTTTGAGAATGACGCTTTCTGATAACTATTTTTTTAACTATTGTCAAAACAGAAGGCTTGGTTGTTTGTAAACACCGAGCAAATATAACAGGTATTTGGAGTAAATAATTATCAATCAAGCTTCAATTTATATACCTCACCTGCAATTTGACGTCCCTTGAAGAAATCAGGCTTAACAACGAATTGATTTGCACTTGCGACAGCCAAGGCTAATTTTACATTTTCCCAAGTTTTCGACTCTCGGTTCGTAATAAATTCAAAAAAAGTGGTTTTTGACGAGTTACGAGTTCGAGCTCCCCCGTTTTATGAACGCGGGCTGATGTAAAAGCTGCATTCCTAAGGTGTTATGTAATGCTGGACCCTTAGGTCTTTTTGAAGACACAAATAAGGCGGACTCAGGCTACAAATCGGACCACACAAGACTCTTTTGCGATGTTCCCCCTCGCGCGGCTGGATCGGGCCGACGGACGGTCGTAACCCCTCCTCTACCCCCTCCCATTGTCTGTGACTACGACAAAAACTCAATTCCAACTACGCTGTCCCAGACGGCTCCGAACACAGTCACCGCGTCAGCAACTGCCTCCCTCGAAGTGCCCGCGTCTGAATCCTGTTTAGAACTGCCCTTCCCCACAACCATTAAACCGATCGCTGAAAAGGTAAAAATTGAGGTTACAACACTACTTGAGTAAAAGGTGATGCATGTTAAGGGGAGCGTAATTCGCGCTCCCCACCTCCCTACTGCGCACGTTGGTCTTCATTTTCTTATCAGCGTTCTTACCAAAGCGAGCTGGGTTTTGTTAATTTTCTTGCCTCATTTTCTTTCGACCCTTTTCTCCGCGTATAATCGAAAAAAAGGACCAAAAGTTGTGTCCTCCTGTCGTTGCTTTGTTCATTTTCTTTGCAAAGAATGTCCCTATGTTGAAAGAACGTGGAGCCGCATTCAAGCCTCATCATCCATTTGTGGAATTTAATGCTGAATTTGGACATCAAAACGCACTTTATCTGCAAATATATCATTCTGGAACGCAAACGATTGGTATGCAAACAGCAAATGATGTAAAAGCTAGTAAAACTATGGAATTATGCATTATTAACTCTGAGAAACGCAGTGATCAATAGATGAAGCTTCTAGTTATGGATACTAATAAACAGACTCTATTCACATTGGTTATACAGAAGCGTTTTAAAGTTCTATTAAAAACTTACGGCGCTGGTTTTGGCATATAGACAAATCCAGGGCAATATCTTTCTTTCTCCGATGAAACTTGCCCAGTAACCTTGCCAGAAACCTTTGTCAGTGTGTTTGTTTGCTTTCATGAAATACCTGACGACTTCCTCTGGCTTTATTTCAGCTCTCTGAAGTTCTTTCTAAACGAAGGGCACATCTTAGGAACAATTGGGATTATGAAAAAAATGATTACGCGGAAGACGATGAAGAAGATGAAGACGATGTGGACGAGGATGATTTCATGGAGGTTTCGGATGCCATCAGTGGAAAGAGGACTGTGTTCGTGGGCGTTGCTGCCAACGTCTCCACGGCGTCTGCTGTGGACGCCTCTATGACAGCTAGCAGTTCAGGGAAGCGTTCGACAACAGCGGGAACAGATGGCGAGGGTGGCGACTTCAGCGACGAAGGACTTTCCACGGTGCGGCGAGTTGTTCAACAGCCAAAAGAACCCGAGACCAAACCTCTCCCAGGAACTCAGGCGTCATCGCCTCTCAGAGCTTTTGGTGGTCAGGTAAACCTGGGCAAATACATAAGACCATAGTGGACTAAGGAGGACAGCACGCATACTTGCGTCCTAGTATAGGCAACACGTTGCGTCGCAGGTGTGGCACTCACGCCCAAACAAGAATCGATATTTGGACAATGTATTGTCCCCGCAACTGTTGTTTGCCAAATATCTATTTGATTAGGAACGCTTTTGTGTTATCCTTAACTCTATTCACTAATAACTTCTTGAAAAATGATAATTAATGTAAAATTCTGAATAATTCGTCAAATACTTGATCCCAGAATGAACCGAATCGGATTGCAAAAGAGCTAAACATCCTTCGATAGTATTTATGGGCATTAATTTTAGAAGTAATTTCTGCCGAATTAACTGCTTTCTTTTAGGCCACAAAGACTTTGGACCCGCTTATATCATTCGCTGAAAATACACCGCTGAAAGCTCCAGCGACAGGTATCGTGAGAATTTCCCTATTTGTGGTGTCATATTTATCAATTTGCTTCTATTAAATGGCATGTTTCATCTCAGATTTTCTCCAGATGCCCTGGTTCAAAAACAGTACATTTAAGCTATAGTAGTAAGGTCTTGTCGACGATTTCTTGACAGGCCCAGTCAGGAGCTTTATATAATGATCTAATTAATGAGTTAGAAACCAGTCTCTTTTGATCATGGTGTTGTCTCTAAATGTCAACAGATGGTGGGGTTTCCTGAAGGACTATGACACCACAAACGGCGACTTGGATTTAGCGTATGACTGTTTTGAATTACACGTCACTTGCACTCACCACATGGCTGATTTCAAACCTCTCAGTACTTAATGCGACATAAACTTTTTTTTCACTTTCAAAAAGAAAACTGGTTCTATGCAAGGAGTGTAGTTTCTAGTAATAGAATGTATCCAGTATGACTTTTGTCATCTGTTCCACCGTTTTGTTTCAGCAGACTGGACGCCTCTTCAACTCCGACAGCAGCTCACTCTCATCGATCGCCAGCGCATCTCCAGTCCTCCTGCCATCGGTGTTCCAAGGACCATTCCAGAAGAAGATGAAAATTTATTCAATCAACCGTCATCTCAGCAAAACACATTTAAGCCAAAGACATCTCCCGCCGATGTCCACTGTCGGCCACGAAAAATAATTCAAGAAGAGGAGGAGGAAGCTGAAACTGAGGAAGATTATCCAATGCTACGACTGGACTATCGGCTAAAGTGCGTTTCAAGTGCTCTACTAATGCGAAAAAACATTTGGGCGACCTGATTCAACCTCTTGATTCATTGTGCTAAGTTGTGTTATGCTAAGTTTTCTAAATGATTTAGCAACACGAATACGTGCCCTAGATTCCCCCTAACTCCTTATATTGGTTGATGTCCATATCCAGTTTGACTGAATAGTCAGGTTGGTGGCAAAAGCGTAGTCTATGAGTAACCACTGGTCGATATGTGGAATTCATGTAAATGCGCGTGTGATTTAAACGTTAGTCTTTCAGTATCTTCTGTTAAAACTTGTTAAATAGAACTAGACTATTTGCCAATTCCAAATGCAGCCTTTTGTTAAACAGGCTTATCACTTCCCAAACATCGTTTCCGTAGCCAACTCACGTTTAATTTCCACATATCCCTCGGTTGGTGAACAGCGGTGTAGACACAAAGCTGTATAAGCTTGACAACACAATTTTGTCACTGCTAGACAGCTGTCGCTTTATTGGCGCAGACGATCAATCAAAACAACTTCCCCTCCAAACCCTTGTTTCCAATCTCTCTCTGTGTGACTTAGGTTGATGTCGCGCTTGTCAGCCTCCACATCACTTATCCAAAGTAGCAACACGTTCGCCCGAGTAATCTGACCCTAGTTTTATTGCCAAGGCACTGGACCTGATGATTAGGCTTGGTACTTCCTTCGAAAATAGACTAAGTATATTCCTTTGCCGTGAATCATGAATGGTGTGCGAATGTCACCTATCCAATTAAAGCAAAATATTGTTCAGTTATAGTTGAGGCAGTAAGCTGGGATAATCAGTTGCGCTAAGTTAGTCTGCTTTCGGGTTTGTAGTAACTTAGAATTCACTTTGACTCTATCAACCTTTTAGACTAAGACTACTACGTGACTTTCTAGTCTCTTTGTTCTTAAATGGTCCAACGACTTAAGCGCTCATGTGCCGGTCTTATAAGATCTCGTGAGAGCTGCACCATTCGATCCATAATTTGAAAGTTCGGGAAAGTAGCTGTCAAAATAGAGTGAAGTCAGGCTGCTATTATTGCCGGTTGGTGACATTGCGTAATCAAAACATGATTTCTGTGCTTACTATGCTTTGGCTCGAAGTGATGAGGATACCTCATAGATTTGCGGGTGCAATCATACTGATGAGTGGTGAGGTACATGCTCTTGTGGCATTACTTGGGATCGATTCACATTCAAGAGTGTCTTTTTCCTGCCGAGTTTTAAAGTTTCAAAAACAGCAATTTGCCACACATATTCGTGGAATATTTATTTAGCGAAGGAAAGGAATCCCACCAGTCAAATGAACCTAACAAGGCCGGCGTACACACTGCAAGTCCCTTGAAACCAAACCTACCCCCTACAGAACCCCTGCAGAACGACCGTCCTTCCCACCGCGGTTTGACTACTCCTGCCGTCCTTCAGTGGCTTGAGTCGACTCAAGCAGCAGCAGCATCCGATGGAGGAGCCATGTCTCCCTTCACGACGCCTTCCAGCATCGTATCTGGCGCGAGTTCGGCGGCTCCCACGTCGACTGGGGCTTGCGAGGAAGAGTCGATCTCTGCCAGCCAGCACGACCTCGTCAGTCGAGTTATAAGAAGAAATGTTCGCGAGGCTTCAGAGGACCTCAGGCGAGGTTTCTTCCTTGCTGGCTACGAATCAGAGCCTGTGGATATTCACCTCACTAACACCATGCCTGGGGAAAATTTGGGCATCCAGATTAAACCAATCTTCACGGAGCCAACGGAACTCATACCTTTTGTGGGCCAGGTGCCTCTGCATCTGAACTCCAACGGCAAATGGCAAGTTTGGATGTCACGGGGTTTTCATGTTGTGGCACGTACGTGTCCGCGTCGTAGTAAATTTGTTTCACTGGTGGAATATCCTTCCATCTAGGATCTTCAGACCGTCACTATCTTGGCTGATCCCAACGACGTTTCGTTTAATTTGCGAGGGATAAGTGATTTAGTCAAACCTTTAACAAGGGCATTAGCTTAAATGAGACGGGTCTGTTGAGATTAAGCTTACGTCCTCCACTTTGGTTTGCGGACCCGATTTACAAATCAGTTTTGTATGTCGCTAATGCATGGCACTAAATACGTATGTGGCTCCCTTTGATTATATCATGTTTTTAAAACTCGGTTACTTATTTTTATTAATGCTCTTAATTCCAGCGAAGCTGGCCTCGAGGTTCACGCCATCATGCCGAACGGCCGCGTAGCACGTGAAGGTACCTTGGCGGTTGGCGACAGGATATTGAGCATCAACGGTACCTCGCTAATGGGGATACCGTTTGATAAGTAAGTTGTAAAGTATCACTATGTGAACTTCTTATGAATGTAAGGAGCGAGTGACAAAGCGTCCACTTAAAGAATTAATATAAGGCTGTAAGGATGGGTGAATCTCATGTTTTCAGTCTCCGTTTAAATCCCGTAAAACGAATCGCGGTGTTGCTTTCTAGGTACTCTGTGTGACAGCGCCAGGGGTTTCGTAAGTAGACTAGGCGCAACTCCGATATTCACTGCTTCCGGTTCATTACATTTTCATTTGTCTGACTCGCTTCCTGTTTGTCAAATATAATTTAATGGGCTAGCGGTGTGGTGCCACGCTGGTCGAGTTAAAAAGAAACCCAATTTCTCGAACCGTCCGACCGTTTGTTGATCTTGGTATAAACAGTGGTTTCTGTGCCTGTCTTGTTAAGTCGCCCTATATCCACAGTCTCATCCACAAACATGAAGTGGGAAGTTTAAAATGTAGCTGTCAAAGCTTATTTTCACGTAAAGCTGAGGCCCTAGAAAAGGCGGTAAATAACAACAATCTCTTATAGAGAAGTCGGAGTTACGTGAACAAGCTGTTCACCCGTGAATAGGGAAATTAGCGTGTCACGATGCCAAACAACGTGCAATTGCTGCAGGGGACTTGCGCTAAGGGTTTTGTGGCGCGGCTTGCCTGTCGCGCGTCTCACAGGACCCAGGAATAGACGTTACGCCCGTGTAAAGCTCTATGACCTTGAATGTCAACCAATGGGCCGATGGTGGCAGCATTCTGCGATTCTTGCAGTTGCCATATAAAACGCAATCCCAACACTTCCCACTACCCCTAATTCCTTGCTTTTGTGTGTATTTGCCCGTTCTTACACACACACACAGGAAGTTGTGTAAGTGAATGCGGCTAAAAAAATAATGTGTCATTTGGGAATAACGCGAACTTGCATTAATGACGAAAGCCAGCTGAAGTTTCCGCCCTTCTTCGCCAGTAGGATCACAAACAGCACGGAATGTTTCCAGCTTACATTACTACTGGCAACATTATCGTGAAAAGCTCCGATAAATTCTTATTAGAAAAAGTCTACGCTCTTAACAACTAAACAGAAATAGCGAATGGGGTAGAATTGCTGGTAAATTAACATGCAAACTGGTTATTTACAACATACTAGCGGAATCATAGCCCATCTTCTCAATTTTTTGGCTCAACAGCCCTTGTTCTCTTAAATGCCTTTAGTACTTCTACAAAACAAAATGTTTTATGTTTTCAGAATTTACTTTTCCAACATATCCGTACCAAAATGGTGCATGTGTAGTGGTTACTACAGGCCCCAGGAATTTAAACATTGCATCTCTCCTGGATAACAACTGTAATGATGGCGTTAGGAAAATTACGACACCTGCCGATGTCTTCGGACGTGGCTGAACACAAAACGTATCTTTTTTTAAAACCGTACACTCCGTCACTAAAAACTTCATGCTGGTGTTTCAAGGTGGAGGTTAGTATACTAAGTACGGTCATGTTAGTCTGCATCAAATTTTGATAATTATAACTGGTTTACCAGTTCTCTCAGATTTTTCAATCAAGAAAAAAAGTAGAATAATGTCAACGTGAACTATTGTGCTAGCATAATTCCTAACGAAGGCAGGAATGTAACAGTTTGAAAGATAAGTGAATAGACAATTTTATATTGCGTTCGTCTGAATATCGGTGTGTTGTCATTTGCAGTTAACTTAAATAAATCGTGAATGACAAAGCACATTTTCGAAAATTACGGAGGCCCACAGAACACGAGGAACATTAATTTAAACCCATAGACTGCATTTGATTTTGCTCACGCCAGAAGTTCTAACATATAACTCTATTTTGACGCGGCTCCTTCAGACCAACTGTCCTGTAATTCTGGCCTTTTTCGGGCCGTACAGCAGGGCAAGGATGAGTCAGGAAGCCATGCTGGTGTTCTAGTTGAGTAGACAAAGTTGATCTGATCTGGTTGCTCAATGGGATTTTTGTGAAGTTTCAGGCGGATATGATTTCGGGCATTTTGCGTACACACGTGTCGTGGCCTGTGAGGGAGGCATACCAGTAATTTCTGGGTCAGCTCCAAGTTAGACATTTCTAAGTCCATGTACACCTTTTCACGCTGCGCGAGGTTATAAAAGTGCACGTGTACGCACCGAGTTATCCATGCACAAGTTCAATGTTTTCTAAGCACTTTTGTTACATGCACCTGTCTTCACATTGCGCTGCTAATTATAACTTGATCATCATCGCACTCGGGAAACGGGAACGTGCGCACAAATTGGATTTGCGTGAAAATTTTAGTCCAAGCTGCCTACCGTGATCTACTGCGGCATGTTTTGGGCATTTGGTGGTTTTTTCGCCCTCAGAAATGTGTGACCTGAGATGTTTTCATTGTGAGGTAGATCTCTGACCTCTTCGCTAACCTGATTCTCCCAAAACAGGAAGGCAGAGGCAATAAATCCTAAGTTCATGCGGCATCCATTCGTCTGAAAAGTGCAGCAATTAAGATGAAGTAATTATGTTTGGGTTTAAGTAAAAGTTCTAAGCATCTAATTTAAATCCAAACTGTATTCATAGTTAGCCCTTCGCCATGAAGATATGTAATTATTTTTCAAAAGCGAAGAACAAGTTGTATTGATTTAATTAGGAAAATTGTGTGTATTGTGCGTCATGTTAGCATGCACAAAGGTGTTTGCATTCAAGATATTCTTCTCAGTGTGCAGTTTCATTCACATAAACGCACATGAGTCGTCCGTGTCTATATATTTTTAAATTCTAAATTTCCCTTATAAAATGGCCACTCTGGAAGCCCTCGGATGGATTTTCACAATTAATTACAGACGACAACAAATCAACCCCTTGACAAAGTGCTATGAGTGATAATTGTCGTACCTACCATATAACTTCTTTTACTTTTTCATTATGGTATCTACTATCATGTTACTGTCAGAAACTCAAGTAGCTAAAGAGACTTGGGTGTTCGCAGGAATGTGAAGAGCCACTGAGTCCCAGAGCTATCTACTATTTACTAGCACGCAACTTTGTTTAGGGGTCGAGAAATCTTCCAGGAAGCCCTGAAGAATCCAGAGCTCGTGCTTCACGTGCTTCCTTACACCGGCCGAATCAGCTCGCCTCCTCGCCTACCGACTACATCCACCGCAGAGAGCAATTTTGCAAGCCCACCCACAGTTCCTACACGGGAAGTTACTTCAACCGCAGCCGCTTCCAAGGATGAAAAGCCCTCCTGCGGCCTTGTTCTCGTGGTAGACCAAAGTGAGAAGGCGAAGGAGGCGGAGACGCTAAAACCCGGTCCACCGCCGCCTCCTCGACGGTCACCACACACCGCCCTTTCACAGCAACAACAGCAGCAAGCAGATGATGCTTTGGGAACGGGAAAACCGGCACCTATCCTTCCACCGAGGCACAAACCAGAGATCGTGCAACCGCAGATCTCGCCTTCGGGGCTAGTGACCAAAACCGTTCGATTACGAAAGGGTGAGGAAATCACCTTAAAAATTTCTTGTCCATAAGCTCAAGCACCGTAGGAATCAACACACTTTGCTGAAAGACGTATGACCATCATGGATTCAATATAGTTCTCTTTTTAACGAGATATTTTGTAAAATGTATTTTTCAATCGTAAAGGAGAAAAGCTTGACACACGTCAACTAGGGCTGCCGAAATCAAGCAAGTTTGTGGCAGCAGAATTAGGTTCTGTCAGAGCCTCTAAAGGTCATCTTTTTGACGTATCAGAGTGATTGATTCCATTGTTTTTCATGTACTTTTTGATCGGCCATCAGATGCAAGTCAATAATGAGTTTATAGGACCTTGAACCGATATTATGGCACACCCAAATTAAGAAATATTTGCAGACCTTTCCTATGCGCAGGAAAATCTACCTCGCAGCAAACGGCTTCATTTGGCTTTCGGTTGGATTCTCATAAGGTTTGAAAAAGAAATGGTGAGTATTGCAGACGTAATAACGAGAAGTTGGTGCGCTTCTCCAGTCGTGCTTTTAGACAATGTTTTAGAAGAAGGACGTGAATGCGCTTACAGCAGTTCAATCGATGTATTTTTCTGGTCTTTGTACAGGAGGAGAAAGTGGGAAGGGTGCAAAAAGGTGACTCACACATATGTGTGTGTGCGTTGTCACTATCGCTCCGATTTAGGATTGCTATCTCGGTATCTGTATGTTCGCACGACCACTGATTGTAAGCCGAAACGATGTTTCAGCCTAGTGGTTGACAAAACAAGTTAAACCTGGGTGTATCACCACTTTCAAACCAAGACTTCTCCCTTAATTTTCGTCTTGTATACAAATTTGCTGCTTTAGTTTTACGTTTTGAAGGTCCTCATTACAAGCAACAATTTTACTTTAGGCTAGTTTCCGTCCAGCGAGCGCTATATTGGTGACCGGTTTATTCCTGGATGTCGCGAATGGCTTCGTCTACTGCCTTTTGTGTAGCTTCGGATCATTCTTTCACGAAGTTATCTAGATCGAAAACTCTGTAATGCAGCTTATGCCCTAATTTTATGCATTGCATTTGAGATAAATGTTTCAAATCATTATTAATGTTACGCCTGTAACGCATTATAGTAGAATTTGGCGATTAGAGAGGAGCATAAGATAGCAATTAATCAGCAATGTATTCTCAGCTGTTTGATACTACCTCCCAATGGCCGACAAGTTTTTCTATTCCTCTGCCGTATAAACCTCTATGATTTGGCTGGAACAGTCATCTAATTGTATGTTTAAAAAACATGCCAGTATTTAACCTGACCTCGTACATATTGCTAAGCGCCGGTAGGGAAAGACAAAAATCCCACGGATCCACGTCTGGGGAACTTGGAGGATGTGAAAGAACCTCCCATTTGAGAGGTCGATTTACCGCTTTTGTCATATTGGACGTCATAGCCTTGTCGGGGTTACTTTATCTGAACCGCATTGTTACGTCGGTACACTTATTCAACATAGAAGTATGCATTGACTGGTTCGTTATTCTCTAGAGGCTCATCATGAATGAGGCTCTTGCAATCCCGCCATAAATCTAACATTGACTTAATTTTTGACCACAGCGACTTGTTACTCAATTCGGTATTTAAATCTAATTTTAGAACCCCGTCACAGAGTATCCTAAGTTGGTTTTTTAAAAAAATTATGGTTTAAGTGATGTATTTCACCATGCAGAGTTCTTTTGATTTCGCTCGATTCAGTCTTAGGTCGCAATCTGCTTGAAATAGCATATTCAGTGTTTTAATTGGGTGTTTGACAAACTTTACAGGGAAGTGGTCTTCCTTCTCCAACATTGGTGTCTTACTTTGATTCCTTCTACCATTTTCGGATAAATTGCTCTGATCGATTTTACGGTTCACACAATCTCGCCACATTTTTCAACAAGTGATTCAACGAATGCGTTTGCTTGGGATAAGCCTTTGTTTTTTATGCATTGTTGTGGCTTGAAGTGTTACTGCCACCATCTGCTGTTTTTAAAGTTACGTTATGTTGTTCTCTTGAAGTATGCAACGGGATTTGCGTTATCCCTTTCCGAATTTTTATTTTTGAAATGCGGGTTTGTAGTTCTGTGCAAAAACTTGAATTAGTGCCGATCCTTTTGGTCGCTAAGATTGCTCGCTGTATGCTGGATGTTGTGAAATTTGGTTTCTGTGTTTATCTTTATCCTAACACGTTGTCAATTAACTTTTTTTTTCAATTTAAAGTGCCTTAACCGAGTACCAAGCGTTTCGAAAAGTTTTACTTTTTAACAACAGATCTCGTGTTCTGGAGCTAATGTTCAAAGTGTCGCATTTCCTCTGTAGCAAAATTGTTCTTAAGCATCCCTTTGTATTTAGGAGCCTCTGGTCTGGGATTCAGTTTGACCAGTCGGGACCAACATCAGAGAAGGCCAAACTGTCCCGTCTTCATAAAAAACATCCTTCCCGGCGGGGCCGCTCTTCTGGATGGCAACCTCAAGCCTGGCGATCGCCTCCTTAAGGTCAGCGTGTGTTTCGACGGTTGTTTAAGGTTGTGAGCGCGTAAATTTGACTGATCTGGTTCCCGATAAGTCTTTGAGCCATAGACGAGCCCCCTTCGTTGGCTCGCGAAATGCTTCACCCCGCCCATGATGATTTCCACATCAAGGACGTGATTAAGTAATCAGCCTAAAAAGATGGCTGCATGCTTGGTTGCTCTTTGACATTCTCTATTTCTACAAGTATTCACGAACACATCATGCGTTTCTCTTAGGATGTGTGTAAAACCTAAGACGTTGCTTAGCGGTGGGTCTTTACTGAACATTGGCCTAAATTTTGCCCAAATTAGTAGACTGACGAATATATATGTCCGTGAGTCATTCCCAAGAAGTGCGTTTCAGCTGTTTCGTCAAGTACCACGTCAGGCAATATTGCGCGCGTTTCCTTGTTATCTGATTGGCTTAAAGTAATCCCGGCAGGTGCGCGTGGTTACTATTATTTCACAACTTAAGAGGTCTCCTGCAGGCAGCCCAACAGGTGTAATACACACGGAGATCGTTTTACAAGCTGCTGCTTTGAATGACCGGATGAATTTGCGAGAGTATCAAAAAGTATTAAAGCGGCCGCTAGAAGTGTTTGTTGTGGTACCTACATCCTCGGCCAACAATGCACGTCTCCATGGCTCACTCATATATGGAGGCTAATTCGTCAAAACAAGCATATTAAATTCGCAGTCGAGACTTTAATTCATGAATACTTTGTTTGATACATTATTGAAGTCCCGCAAATGGCGACATGGAAAATGCTTTAAGCTAGAATCAATAAATAATGCGACGTAATTTGTTGCATTAAAAACATTAAATATCACTGAGGAGGGCAAAGGTATTTTGTGCCATTAGCGGTCCAAAATACCCCAACACTTTATTCCCTTGGAGGCCTATGTGCTGGAACACGAGGCAGTCACCTAACTCGGAGTAGTCGTATTTACTACCACAAATCAAGTCGGTGAGTGACGCATCATAAGTGGTAGAATGCGCAAAAATCAGTGAGTGCGGTTCGGGCACTTGAGGGTCGGTTAGCAGTCGCAGTTCCTTCTCCCTTTGTGTGCAAATGGATTGTGGTTTGACCTGCATACAAGGCTTTCGTTGTGATTACTTCATGTGAGGTCAGAATGTTCATTGTAAACTCGTGG